AAAGAGAACTCATGCTTCACTCTGTTTTTACAGGAATATATATTATTGTGGTTTACCTTTTGAGGGTCCTATTCGTGATGAAGCCGGCAACATGCAGTAAGTTCACGCTGTTCTTTAATTTATATTTGAATCTGACATAAGAATGTTTTCTTGTTTATGTATATCCAAGAGAGAAATCACGTTTTAGATCTAATAGTTGACTTTAAGGGATTAATAGTGGATTGATTGTCTGTAATTCCTGTGCTGGGATAAATCAACAATATCTGGTCATGCATTGTTGAACAAGAACTGTAAAAAATCTTTGGGAAAAAGTCAATGGGGAATGTAACTGACATTTAGAACAAATGTTTTGGAAAAAAGTCAATGGGGCATTCCGAGAATCGAACTCGGGACCTCTCGCACCCAAAGCGAGAATCATACCACTAGACCAAATGCCCTGTTGTTTATGTAAATCCGTTTCAAGCATTATATCTGCTGCAAGCTAGGATCTGTAGTACGAGGGAACACCGTGATGTTAGGATCTGTTTAGGATCTATTTAGATTTGCGGTATCAGATGCAAAGATAGTTTCCTCTTATTTATTTCATCAGTTAGTACTTAATATGTAGTCAGGAGGCTCTGTGCTAGATGTTCTCTGCTGAATTTAATTCTCTATCTAGTTTACAGTTCTGATCGTTTTTCTAAGTAGAAGTTTTTTTTCTTATCGGAATCTTTTGTAGGTTTTACTATAGTTCCTCTGATTAGAATCTTATGTGATAAAAGGGCATTCATGCCATCATGTATGTTGTGGCAAAGTGCAGTTAATATAAGTTCCAACTTATTTACATTTGGTTCTTGTATCTGTTATTAAAATGTTATCTTGTTGAGTAATCTAAAAAAGTAGCTACAGTTTAGATCTAGTTCTTTATGTTGTCTTTCAGTCGTAATAGTCGAGTTCGAGTATGAGGCTCTAGGTAGCTGTTTCAACCAGATAAACGCCTGTGCTTTTGTAGATCTTGTAATATATTACACTTTGTTGCTTGGCCTGTTCTTGACTCTCAAATTCCTGTAGAAATTTTTGTTTGTCATTGAGATTAGTGTGTATTGTTAGTACATTAATACTTATCCAATTGTCGTCGTTTGGTTTTAGAGAATCTAGTGCCACAAAGCTAGTATAAGTTTTGTCTCATGTTTTCTGGTTGTATATGCAGAAGGGAGGTGTTTTCTATTTGAAGAGATCAAAGATATTAGATGTGGAAGCCAAACTTTGGTGTTACACCAGTTCCCTTAGTTAGGTTGCAGCGGTTGATCTTGAAACTTGACGATGATGTCTCCAATCATTAACTACAATTGTTGGCAAACTCTCCTCCCTGGAATCCGTTGATCATGGACCACATAGTTAAATACCGGGAAGGTCTACTGTGCAGCAATATTCAAGTTCAGAAGTAGCTCGGTATAGAGAGGGGAGAAAGCAAGCATTATTGAGGAACCATACCCAATACTATTTTACAGGTGCCTACTCTAGAGAAGGACAGTACAAACTTATTTGTTTAAGAGCGTTGTATAGTATACACAAAGTAATTTATTGTTAATTACTAGCTAATAAGCCCATTCCTTGGGAAGAAAGACTTGTCTAGAATGAGAGGAGGTGAGAGGGCATGGCTTCTTCGTGAGTCTCTTCTCTTCTGAGTTACTCACCGGCCTCTCAGGAAGAAACACTCCAGTGCCTCGTGGCTTAACTTGCGATGCACCTGCACACTTTCTTGACCTGTCGTCCATGGAACCGTACTGGTTCAACGTGTCCCACATTCTTGGCTTCCGATATTGGTAGCTATCTCCTCTATTACTCTATAAATTATGTAACACAGGTTGATTCACTATGCATCCTTAACATGACTACTAATCAATGATGTTATAAGAATGGAGTTATTTAAAATACCTGTGGGAATGGACCGATACAATCAAGAAAGAGTTCATTGAATAAGTTTGAAGGCAAAAGAAACAATCCTTCCTCCACACCAACCACAATCTCTCCTTTGCAAGACATGTTGGAATGCTTTCGAAGACTACTACAAAACTCCCTCCAATGCATTTGTATATTTATACATGTTACTTAGCCTAAGTTTCAAGAGGGCAAATCGGTAATAAAGGTCGGATCAAGTTTGGTGAACCTCTCTTGTGGAGTGGTGGTGGTGGTGGTTGCAGTTTATGTATGTGGCTTATGTATGGTTTAGCTCGGCTTAAACCATAAATACCAGATTAGTGTGTAGTTGAGGTGGTTATGAACATTCTTCTAACCCACCACACCAACCCGTTTGTATTATTCCTTTTCATATGACACCTTAGCCCCATATAGATTTTGTTAATGGTTGACCTATAATATTCAAATCAAATCGTATGTACGTTTGCATTGAAACATGCATGAAGGATACTGATAAAATAATGACAATCATATTGTATACGTTTGGATAAATATTATTCATTTCGTCAACATAGAGACTTGAGGTGTCCAATTTATGATATCTATATAAAGGTTTTAATCAGTTTTGATTTTGGTTAGGTTTAGTTAGGATTGTTTGGGTAAGGGAAAATTGAAACTAATAAATCGGTTTACTTGCACTTTTTTTTTTGTTGCTGGTCAGATTTTTTGATGCGGTTTTAGTTCGATTTAAACCGGTCCAACCGGATTTGGCAATTCTAATTCTTCGAACAAACCATCAGGGAGAGAAATTCATGTTTATCATTTTGGTTACTTCCAATGTCAGTCAACACATTGGATTTCAAAAATGTTTTGCATGTATCGAGAGCCTCTCGCAATTCATTGCTATGCGTTACGGAAAAATTCTCCAACGGGGATGAAGATACACACGTTCATGTTGCCGAGGTTCAAGCAGGTATGAGCGTTTCCATCGAATCTAGTTGTTATTTGTTGATATGCTCCTTCATCAGATATGCCCACCACATGTTCGACGAAAGTCCTAAACCAGATTTCTTGACTCACAGCTATAATATAGGATTCACTTGTTATGTGGTCTTATTGGAGAACCTTACAGCTAGCGAGATTCACAAGTGGGTAAGTACTTGCTCTCTCCATATCAATGTTACTAGCTCATTCTGCTTTATAGTTCCTCTTTGTTTAGAATCTAAGCTGTTCAATGGTTAATATTAGGTTCAAACGTTTAAATTTCTGTATATTATAGTTTTCATCTGGCTACTAGAACCTACGTTTAATACTTGGTAAATCATAACACTAGTCCAAATGGTCTGTAACCTGTTGTTGAATAAGAATCAGTTAATGCATAATTGTTCTTGAAACATAAATACCCTTTTTGGATGTTTTCTTTTTCATTTCCTGTATCTCTTGAAAAAATTTGGCAGCATTCGGCTAGTGTCGTTCTACTTTTAGTCAGCTATCTAGAAACTGTTTTCTTGCTGCACGTATGAAACAGTGGATGTGAAAGCCAAGGTGCATTGCAATTCTCATTCTCGTTGTTGCATTTTAGCTGTTAATACCAAAAGTATTAATCTGTAAATTGTTAGAAAGTGAAGGGAAAGCTCATGCATTATCAATGAACATTTGAAATAGACATCCAAAAAAATTTAAGGGGGCATTCCGAGAATCGAACTCGGGACCTCTCGCACCCAAAGCGAGAATCATACCACTAGACCAAATGCCCTGTTGCTAACCGGTATAGTTTAAACATCGAAATGGTCATATTTGGATCTAGTTCTCGTAGTTGACTTTATGAAACTGATATCCCAATTAAACGATATCATTTGTTTTTTTTTTATCATAAATTGATTTCTGGTCTGTATTATACTCTGTATGGAGATAATCCAGATTAATGTTGGCTCAATTGTTACCAAACGTCTTCTGCAACAAAAAATAATGAGAAGAAGATAGTCTTTATGATCTTGTTTGTATTAACATTTGACTCGATCATAGCATTATTCTTAATTCGCTATGATTGACTTTGTTTGTTAAGAACCTAGAGAATACCTCTGGATTTGTACTCTAGCTTTTTTTGCTTTTTGCTATTTAAAAAGCCAATTCCTGACTCCCTATATAATTTATTTAGCTGGACTGCATTCAAAATGTATTTTTGTAATGGATCCAAAAGAAATCATGTATGGTCATTCATATGTCAGTTTGCTTTGAATACATTTACTCAGAAAAAAGTAAATGGGGCATTCCGAGAATCGAACTCGGGACCTCTCGCACCCAAAGCGAGAATCATACCACTAGACCAAATGCCCTGTTGTTGATATAAGTCAATGCAGAATTCTTCTTGAAACCCCAATGCATGATCTAATTTGTGTCTACCGGAAACCAACTGATAGCTGGTAGTTTTTTTCAATCCTGCAGTTAACTCTTAGAGAGGCTTGCAGAAGTCGGCTTGCTATGTCCTCTGTTCAATACGTTGTCCAATGAGTGTTATCTTTCTGCACATATAAGTAAGTATTAGTGGGATCAAAGCTCATTATGATTCTCATTTTAGTAGTTGCATTTATGCAGTTAGTTACCTGAAGTTGGAATGTGTTATCCCCCCTTATTTTCCTTTGCTAAATTTGAAAGAAAATGCATGAACGGTTGTTGAAAATGAGCTGTGGCGGTGAAGACTAATTCTAGGTGAGCATTCTACACTCCAAAAAGTCAATGGGGCATTCCGAGAATCGAACTCGGGACCTCTCGCACCCAAAGCGAGAATCATACCACTAGACCAAATGCCCTGTTGTTGATTTAGTCGTAAACAAGTATTCATTGTTCTTTGATCCTTGTGGGAAATATAATACACTGTTCCCTCTTTTACAGGAAATTCACCCCCCCCCCCTCCCCAAACATTTCCTCTTGAGGGATTTATTCTTGATATAGCTGGCTACACTCAGGTACTGTAAGTTCAACTTTTCTATTTTATTCATGATTCTAATGAGAAAATGTTTAGATAATCTAAAAAGAAAGCTCTATTTTTTAGATCTAGATCTATCAGTTGACTTCCAGGGATTAGTAGTTGAGGCAGATTGTCTGTAATTTAATAAACTCTGTTAAATTGGTGATGTTTGAAAATAAGGTACTAGAGTCTAGAGGACTAATTTATATTTGAAAATTCTCAGCTGTCATTTAGTCCACATTCCTTGAAAAAGTCAAAGGGGCATTCCGAGAATCGAACTCGGGACCTCTCGCACCCAAAGCGAGAATCATACCACTAGACCAAATGCCCTGTTGTTTATTATAGTGTCCAGTTAATGCCTCCTATTACCATTCTCTCTTTTCTTTCCGGTTGATAACTAATCAAAATTCTTTTTATGTTTATGCAGCTCATTCTTGGTGAATCTGGCTGCTTAGAAAACAATGGTGGTCCTCCCTATATGAAGGGTAGTGGTTAAAAAGATTTACTGTTTGGACGTGAAAGAGTGGTATGTTCTTCTATTCCTTTTGCTTTTAGCACTTTAAAAAATCATTTTGCTGACATTAAAGGGTGATACAACTAAGACTAAACAGCCTAAGGAATTTTCTGCTTTAATTCTGATCTTCTACTTAAAAAAGAAGTCAAAGGGGCATTCCGAGAATCGAACTCGGGACCTCTCGCACCCAAAGCGAGAATCATACCACTAGACCAAATGCCCTATTGCTAAGCAATTTTGTTATAATGTTGAAGATCACTTTGTTTCGCTATCTTGTGATCTGGTTCTTTTAGTTGACTTTAACTACATCAAAACTCGTCCACGAAAAACCATTAGAAGAGTTTAGTCCTCTCGTCCTCCAGTTTCAATTTCTTTTTGCATTAATCAGTTGACAGACCTCTAGTAATTCAATCTGTTATGATGATGTCGCTATACCTAATGGCCAGTAATGTTTGGAGATGTTTTATGTAAATACACATGGTTGAAAAAATCTTGAATGTGGTATATGATAAAATAGGCACCAAATGCATGCAAGAGTTCTGAAATTGACCTTCCTTAAAACATGTGTTACAAAAAGTAAGTGGGGGCATTCCGAGAATCGAACTCGGGACCTCTCGCACCCAAAGCGAGAATCATACCACTAGACCAAATGCCCTCTTGTTGATTAAGTTCCACTGAAGCATTTTCTTGTTTGATCCGGTTAAAAGGAAATATCATGCTTCACTCTGTTTTTGCAGGAAATTTTAATTTTGATGGGTCTGTTCTTGATGAAGCTGGCAACATGCAGTAAGTTTAAATTTTTCTATATATATTCTTTTGGATTTGATATTAAAATGTTCTCTTGTTTAGATTATCCAAGAAAAGAATTACGTTTTAGATCTAGTTCTCTTAATTGATTTTCAAGGACTGATAGTGAAGGTTGATTGTCTGTAATTTAATGTTGATGAAATGTTAGCTGACATTTAGAACATATTCTTACAACAAAGTAGACGGGGCATTCTGAGAATTGAACTTGGGACCTAAGCGAGAATCATACCAGTAGACCAAATGTCCTGTTTCATATGGTTTTCAGGGAAGACATTGTCGTTTCCTGGAAAGAATAGTCTTATGTTTTCTATTTACTATTGACCTTTTCTGGAAAGAATAGTCTTATGTCTTCTATTTACCATTGACATTTCCGTTTGATACATGTCCTGTTGCTATTGTTTGGTGTCGGAGAATTTAGTGTCACAAAGCTAATATAAGTACTGTCTCATGTTAACTAGTTGAGGCTGCAGAAGGAAGGAGTTTTCTAGTTGAAGACTAGTTCCTTTAGTACTCTCGAAAATCATTGCAAGAATACCAGTTGTTCAAGTCGTAGACCTAAACGCCAGACTACATGCCCAACCTGTTGGATATCTTTCTGTTAAAGATGGTAACATTCTGGTCCTTTGTTTGATGAGATGTTAATTTCATTGCTTAGGAGCAAGTAGTGGCGTTTTCTAATATCCTCCTGCTTAAATTTGGTAAATCATAAATGTTCAATTGCTGAATGCTATAGGTTATTGATTATTTGCAGCGACATCATCGCCTCATCGGGCATGGAAGCGAAGGTATGCTAATGTGATTTGATCATACCAAATTCTTGGTTGCTGCCTATTTTTGTTAAAGATCACACAGAATACCCAAACAGAAGTCTATTGGAAATTTATTTCATGTTGCCTAACTTGATATTTAATATGAACTTACTTTAGATCAATAGGTTTGGTTTTACTAGTCTAAATTTATATCTAGCACTGGTAGTTGACTTTATGGGCTTAATAGTGAATGTGAATTGTCTGTAAACTAAGATATTTGTTAAAACATAACACTTGTTGAACACAAACCCATCATCTTGAACATTGCTGAATGCATTTATCTTTAAAAGATCTGGTTATTTTATTTACTTTTTTTTTGGGAAAAAGCAAAAGAAGATCAGGATCTAAGAAAATATTAAAATTATATCTACAAGATTTTCTAAAGGAAATAGAATATTACGTGCGCGTGATGATTATCGTGAGACATTTAAGTAGAAATACGTAAAACACAACCCAAAAAACCCTAGAACAAAAGATGATTCGTGTCTGACGTATTCGTGAAGGAACCGTAAAAACGTTAGTTAGGTCTATATATATCCTTCATTAAATTGAGGCTACGTATATTCACATTGAATTGGGATGACTTGAGAGTTTGGTATTACATCCAAATCGGCTATATAAATATAGGTTAAAATACTTAAATTGTAGTGTGATCTCTTTATCTAAAGAAAGGAAAAAAAGGCACATAAAATTGGTGACTCTCCTAATAATAAACATGCCTTCCTGCAATAACTCCTCCGGCAATCTCGCCGTGGCCATTGCTCTTCTTTTAGCCGGCGCCTTATATATCTACTACTCTTCACGTTCGGTATCTGACCCTTTCTCTGATCTCCAAAACTATGTCAACTCTCTGGTAAGTTGATTCATGATATATATTGGAATGTAAGAGTGTGTATAGGACAGATTTGATATATTGAAGTGATGGCAGAGAAGGATTGAGTATCCAGTGGACGAGCTAGAGGCCGTGCTAGACAGAGCTGCGTCAGGAAACAACAAGACGGTGATAATAGCAATGGTGAACAAAGCCTACGTGAAGGAGGCTGGAGGAGGGAGGACAATGCTGGATCTGTTTTTGGAGAGTTTTTGGGAAGGAGAGGGAACTCTGCCGCTACTTGACCATCTAGTGGTGGTAGCAGCGGATCAGACGGCCTACGATCGTTGCCGTTTCAGGAGGCTCCACTGCTATAAGATGGACACCGAAGGGGTGGACTTGGAGGGAGAGAAGGTATACATGTCAAAAGATTTCATTGAGATGATGTGGCGAAGGACTCGCTTGCTCCTAGACGTCCTCAGCCGCGGCTACCATCTTATTTTCACGGTATGGTCCGTCTCTCGATTTGAAACATATAACAAACTTAATTTGTTGCTTTAAGAAAAATAGTGTATAAATATGTCAGGATACGGACGTGATGTGGCTAAGGAGCCCTTTGTCCCGGCTAAGAAACAATGAGAGCTTGGATATGCAAATAAGCGTGGACAGTAGTAGTGTGGGAGGACACCCGATTAACACGGGATTCTACCACGTCCGGTCCAATTACAAGACCATCTCCCTCTTCCGGAAATGGTACGACATGAGGCTCGAGTGGACGGGCATGAAGGAACAAGACGTCCTTAACAAGCTCCTTGACTCCGGCTTCTTTGACCAGCTTGGGCTCAACGTTGGTTTCCTCAACACTACCGAATTCAGTGGCTTCTGCCAAGACAGCCCTGACATGGGTGCTGTCACCACAGTCCACGCCAACTGTTGCCGCCACATCGGTGCTAAGATCTCTGATCTCACTCTTGTTCTTGGTGATTGGAAACGCTACAAAGCCTCCCGTGTCAACAGCAAATGGAGCCCTCATGTTGAATGCGGGCGTTCATGGAGTGACGCCCACTATATCCCCAAGCTCTGACTTTATTCGCTCGTATATGCAAATTAATGAGATTGGTTTTGTATACATTTATTAACTGCAGATCTTACTTAGGTTGATCGTAGCTAGCTAGACGAGCATTGCATGCTTCTCTTTTGACAAATAATTACAGAACATCTTACATTACATGTGTGTTACAACAAGATTGTTTTTTGCTACTTGAAATATAATACACAGAAGATGAGAGTTCCAAATCCAATGCACAAGTTGGTGGATAAGACCAAACGAAATGCGTGAATCAAATCATACCAATACCATTGGACAAAAATGCTCTGTTCTTGAAACTTAATACATGATTTCCCTTGTTTTGAGGAAATCAATTGATGTATGCGGTGTAAGCTTTTCATTTCTTGCTGTTCTCTCTTATGTACAGCCAATGTGAGTCATTGGATGTGAAAGAATGCTACGTTGCGAATCAACTTTTCTTGGTTGAAATTTCAGCACTTGATTTCTGAAAGTCTCTTAATGTCGGAACTGTTATATGCTTCAATACTTAGAAAAAAAATAAGTTACATGTTATGTTGTCTATACTCTTTGCACATTATGTAAAGGTTAAAATTGTCAAATGATTACGGAAAAACTAACTAAAACTAAAAAAAATAATATTCCTTTAACCAAAAAAAAAGGTATCCTCATACAATAATATATAATCTAAATATGGTTTGGTTAGAATAATTGTAGAAGAAAATCCTTGCAAAATCTAATTAAAAAGAAAAAAAAATTGGAAAGAAATTGAAAAAAATCTCAACTAATCTAAAATACGATTTGTATCATTTTCTAATCTACATATTTTATACTAAATGAGTAAAATTCTAATGGCATTCATGTGTTTGTACATAGCAATTGGATCTAGAAAATGTGGTCTACAGTATACATGTTGTCTACTGTCAAAAGGAGAAAACATAAACCCTAATAAAAAGACGATTCGTGTGTGACGTATTCCAGAAGAAATTAACCTTAGAAACGTTAACGAGGGCATTCCGAGAAACACATGATTGGATTCTAAATTCACATTCACATAATAAATAGCTTAATTTTGTTGTGTACAGAATCAAGAGAGAGAGAGAAAAAAAATTGTCACAAAGAAGAGGTGAGTCTCCTAACTCCTAATAATCCGATAAAACCAAAAACATGCGAAATAACTTCTCCGGCAGTCTCGCCGTTGCCGTTGCTCTCCTCTTTATAGGCGTCCTATATATCTTCAATCTTCAAAACTATGCCAACACTCTGGTAAGTGGATTCGTCATGTATATTCTTATGTAGAGTAAATACATATATAGGAGAAAGCACTCAAATATTTTCAAGTGGTGTGACAGAGAAGCACCGAGTATCCGGTGGATGATCTAGAGGCTGCCCTGCGTAAGGCGGCGGCAGGAAACAACAAGACGGTGATAATAACGATGGTGAACAAAGCGTACGTGGAGGACGTCGGGAGAGGTAGGACGATGCTGGATCTGTTTCTGGAGAGTTTTTGGGAAGGACAAGGGACTCGACCGCTTTTAGACCATCTGATGGTGGTGACAGCGGACCAAACGGCATATGATCGCTGCCGTTTCAAGAGGCTTCACTGCTATAAGATGGAGACCGATGGGCTTGACTTAGAGGAAGAGAAAATATTCATGTCAAAGGGTTTCATTGAGATGATGTGGCAGAGAACTCGCTTGCTTCTAGACGTTCTTCGCCGTGGCTACCATGTTATTTTCACGGTTAGGTCACTCGACTTTTGGAACATACTAACCAAAAAAATATTCTTATATTTCTTGCTCACATATTAATATTATATTATGTACAATGTCAGGACACGGACGTGATGTGGTTAAGGAACCCTTTGTCGCAGCTAAACGTGAGCTTGGATATGCAAATAAGCGTGGACAGTACTTTCAGGGGAGGACACCTAATCAACACGGGATTCTACCATGTCCGGTCCAACAACAAGACCATCTCCCTCTTCCGACAATGGTACGACATGAGACTCAACTCCACGGGGATGAAGGAACAAGATGTCCTCAAGAATCTCCTAGACTCCGGTTACTTCGACCAGCTAGGGCTCAGTGTTGGCCTCCTTAACACCAACGAGTTCAGCGGTTTCTGCCAAGACAGCTCTGACATGGGTGCTGTGACCACCGTCCATGCCAACTGTTGCCGCCACATCTCTGCCAAGGTTTTTGACCTCACTCGTGTTCTTCGTGATTGGAAACGTTACAAAGCCTCCCATGTCAACAGCAAATGGAGTCCCCATGTTATGTGCGGGCGTTCATGGAATGACACCTATATCCCAAATCTTTGAGTCTCTTAACCCTCTTCGTTTATTATATACTTTATTATACACAAATTAATGAGATTGCTGTATTAAACTACCATTTAGTGTAACTTTCAACCTTAGACTTGACATCGCTATATACAATGTCTAAAACGCTGTCGTTTTCACCAATTTCGCTCTCTTTCTTTATCATTTTGGAAAAAGTTGGAAACAGAGTAACTGTAAATTACTCGGAGAAAGTTTCAATCTTTTATCACAATTCACAGCTTCTATAAGTATGAGATTCACGTCATTGTCATGGCGGACTCTCCCGTCGAATCACTACTCAACGTTCCCGTCGAAACAAGACGTTACGTCTCTCTCACCGGCGAGATGCATTGCGGCAGCTCTTCAAGAACACATCAACTCTCCGTCCCCGAAAGCTGGGATGAAGATACACGCAGATATTATAAAAACTGGGTTTATCCCAGATTTGAACATATCCATTAAACTACTCATCCTCCATTTAAAATGCGGCTGCTTGAGGTATGCACGCCAAGTGTTCGACGAAATACCGAAGCCAACTTTATCGGCTTATAACTACTTGATTAGTGGGTACTTAAAGCATGGATTGGCGAAGGAGTTTATTTTCCTTGTTCAACAGATGGCATACTCTGGTGAAAAGGCAGATGGGTACACGCTTTCCATGGTTTTAAAGGCATCTAGTAGCTTTGGCTCGACTATAAGACTGCCGCGTAGCTTGTGCAGGTTGGTCCACGCGCGGATTATAAAGTTTGACGTTGAGTTAGATGATGTGTTAATTACTGCACTTGTGGATGCTTATGTGAAGGGTGGGAAGCTGGAGTGTGCAAGGACTGTGTTCGAAACTATGAAAGATGAGAATGTTGTTTGCTCTACATCAATGATCTCAGGTTACATGAACCAAGGTTTTGTGGAGGATGCGGAAGAGGTTTTTAACACAACTAAAGTGAAGGATATTGTAGTTTACAATGCTATGGTGGAAGGTTTCAGCCGATCAGCTGAGACTGCTAAGAGAGCAGTTGACATGTATATTTCTATGCAAAGAGCCGGTTTCCATCCGAATATTTCAACTTTTGCTAGTGTGATTGGGGCCTGTTCGGTTTTGACTTCCCATGAAGTTGGTGAGCAAGTGCATGCTCAGATTATGAAGAGTGGAGTCTATACACATATCAAAATGGGTAGCTCTTTGTTAGACATGTACGCCAAATGCGGAGGGATAGATGATGCAAGAAGAGTCTTTGACCAAATGCTAGAGAAAAACGTGTTTTCGTGGACTTCGATGATTGATGGATATGGGAAAAATGGAAACCCTGAAGAAGCACTTGAACTCTTCGCTAGGATGAAGGAATTCCGTATAGAGCCCAATTATGTAACTTTTCTTGGAGCTCTCTCTGCTTGTTCACACTCTGGTTTAGCTGACAAAGGTTATGAGATATTTGAGAGCATGCAGAGAGATTATTCCATGAAGCCGAAGATGGAACATTATGCTTGCATGGTTGATCTCATGGGACGAGCGGGAGAATTGACTAAAGCTTTCGAATTTGTTAGGGCGATGCCGGAAAGGCATAATTCAGATGTTTGGGCAGCTCTTCTCAGTTCTTGTAATCTGCATGGTAATGCTGACCTCGCAAGCATAGCTGCGAGTGAGCTTTTCAAACTGAATGCTGACAAAAGACCTGGAGCTTATTTAGCATTATCCAATGTCTATGCTTCTAATGATAAATGGGAAAATGTGAGCAAGATCAGACAGGTGATGAAAGCAAGAAAAATATCTAAAAATATTGGTCGTAGTTGGACCAGAGAAGATTGATTGGAGGTAGTTGCATAAGAGTAGCAGATTTATCCGGCTTCTGGTTTGATACATTCATAGGTTAGATTGTAGATGAGACTTTTTGCCTGAGAATTTTTTACAGAAGTGATAATTATTAAACTTACAATAAGGCTTCTCTTATTCATGCTCGTCAGATCAAATACAGCGAGCTCAAAAACATTTGTTCAGTGATGAAACCGCAAGTTACACAAATGGTTGATGATTTTGTAATTGTGGTTCTGATTTATTTTGCGTATCTAGAGGTCGTTTTTTCAGTGATCAAGACAGGGCAATTTCACCTTTGTGGAACTTTTCCATGGCCTCCTTAAACTCAGGCATTGCAGATTCGCGCAGATTCACCAAAACCTTAAATCCACTGTCCTTGCTTCCAGCTGCAGCATCAGCAGAATATGGCAAGAAGAAACATGGTTCCATGCTTCCGAGCAACTTGTTTGATAGTGGCAAAACCGTCACGGGTCCTCCCCATCCGAAATCAATCGTGGAATGCCCTAGGTATCGCCAGTCTGTGAATCCAGTCACTCCTGTTTTACAAAATCCCATCATGAATACCGAGAGAGCTTGAATTTTATTTTGAGTTTTCCTTAATTTCCAAAAAACAAAATCGTTGTTTGTTCTTTACCTGAACCGGCATTGATTCCATCTTTGTGATGCAGCTCTTGGAAGTCGATAAAGGAGCGTACATATTCATCACTTGCATTGGATTTGCTCTGTTTTATGAGCTCTGCGGTTTTCCAGATTGGTTGCTCTATGAGCTCTCCAGCTTTAATCTGAGCATACATTGGCACACATCCGTTACCCCAGTAACCTTTAGGCAAAGGTGGATTCAGCAATCTTCTAATATTTATGGCATACACATACTTCACATTCTCTTCTTCCCCAATCTTTGCTGCTCGTACCCTGAATTTTCAAATTTTCTTGTTTCAGATCTCAAGAAACACGACAAAAAACAAACATCGAAACGATAATGTTACTTACTTGGCACGCCAAATGTAAGCACCTAGAGCTTCAAATGTAGTGAAATTCAAACCCGATTTCTCGAGTAATTGCGCCTTGAATCGGTCCAAAGACTCGTCGGTCACGAAGAAACACTCTCTTTTCACGTCTCCAATGGCTAGTCCGTATGGATCAAAGTCCTTAACCAGGCTCAAGAAGTCACGAACCGGAGATCCAATCCAAGGTTTCTCCCTTGGACCAAGTAGTTGTGCTCTGTCCCAAACAGGTTCAATGGAGATCTTAGTCGCTCCACGAGCTAATTCCGCCATAGCATTGAAGAACAGACTCGCACCTAACCCATCGCAGATGGCATGGTGAATAGACGCTCCTAAAACCCAACCACCACACTGAAACGTCGTCACTTGGAGAATACACGGATTAACCATTCCCTCTTCCCGGGTCGGATCCGGTACCAATCTCTCGACGAAACCCGGATCGGGTCCATCCAAATACGCGACTGACTCAAGCGTACAGTTAACAGAAGCGTTGACTATAGGCACGCTTTGACCAGCAGTGCAGAATAGTTCAAATCGGTTATCTGAGGCAGAGCGACGGAGAGAGCCGGCGAGAGGGTAATAGTGAACAAGAGCAGTGGCTAGAGAGGCGGAGACGACGGAGGAGGGGGATTTACCGGCGACGGTGGAAGAAGAGGAGGAGGAGGAGTAAACGCGGAGGTAACGGAAGCTGACGTGGAGGTTGTTATCGTTATCGAGATGAGAGAGAGAGAGTGTTTGGTCGTTGGAGAGTGGTTGGTGGGAAGGTTGAACGAGGGCTGTTTCGGTAATTTCATGTGTCGCCATACCTCCCTTGATAAAACTTAATAAGATGGTATGGGGTCTTTTTGTTGGTTATGTTATTTTGAGGTCCAAATTTATAAAGAGTTGTCATCAATTTAAGAAAAGGCAAAATCAATGCCTTTGAGGACAGCTCACGAGACGAGAGTGTGGGGTGGTAGGCTTCACCAACTACCAAACAGTCAAGTCCCATGTCCAAATTTTCTTACACACAACAGTTAATTTCAATATTTCTCTCACTCATACAATACTTTGTCTTCACTTGTTTTATGATCGAGTTTCGTATTTGAGTCTTTTCAATTCATATATACTTCTAAATTTGTCTTCACTGTTTTTTTTTTTCTCCTCCACAAGATTAGTAAAAACGAAGTTTTGGTTGAAAAGGAGCGTAACTGCATGCAGTAGATATGTCAAGAAAAAATTGTAAACTAGAATTCAGTGTCAATAATTCTCAATTGGTGGGTGGGGGTAGAGAATAATATAAATCTGTTAAGATATCTGTTTTCGTGGATTAAAATGATGGATAGTGAACAAAAAAAATTCTTGGTAAGAAACAATAATATAAATTAGCAGCCGAGATGCATAAGAAAGTTGGTGGAACTAAAATGGTTGTGGTTCATTAGTAAAACACAAGTTGTATGGTACTGCTAAATTTTTTATAGTCACTTGACTGGTGCTGATACCAAAACTATGTTCGACTGATGATTGTTATTGAAAGCAAATTCGATTGGTTAGATCAGTATTTATATTATACGCATATCTTAGGTGTAATCATAATCAAAAGTGAGACTAGTCGTCGAAAATTGTAGAGGATTATCATATAAGATTAGTGAGGAGCTGGGATGCTCAGCCGAAGTTATAAAATCGTGAAATAACTAGTAAATTCTTGATAGCATAAAGAGATGACTTTGCAGTTTGCACACACAAAGCAAAAGCTTAAAAGTGGAACATGTGGGGGATTTCAAGGCACCACGGTCCACGGATAAGGTTTTGTTACAATGCCATTATTAGAAAGTTTAGATTCATCTATCTAGCTGACTAGCTATACTGCAATTTCCTTTTAATTCTAAAACGAGAACTAAAAAGCAATAAAATGAAGTGAGTAACATGATTTTTGCTTCTAAATAGAATATTATTTGATACTTTGCTTCCATGTTTTTAAAGGAATCAAAAATTTACTCGGAAATAGGTTTCTACTAGAATAAATATTTTCTTATTGTTCTAAAATATTTAATACACATTAAAATAGTGAGTATGTTTATGACATTTGTCTATAATAAAGATCAATAGAAGATTATTCGATACTTCACTTATACTATCTTTTTAAACGAATCAATTATTTTCTCGGAAATAGGTTTGTACTCGAAATAATATACTTGTTTTGTTCTAAAATGTTTAATACACTTTAAAATAGTGAGTAGATCTCTAAGATCTGGCCACTTGATTTTATATATTTTTTCTCGGATTACTCTCTTTTCTTGTGCATCACAAACATTTCACAATTGTTTTCTTTTTCACGCATTCTATAATAGATGAGGTAAGGAATCCGTTTTGTATAATCATAAAAAGTATATGGAAGGAATCTCTTCGTTATTATATTATTCCCGATATCGTATACTCCAACTTTGTGATGGGAGGACTCCAACTTGTCTGACGTCTCTACACTTACTTCGTTTTCAACCAATAACCAAATACTCTTTTCGTGCTGTCATCATAAATGAAATCTAATAATTGCCTCATCTCTTGCACTATTTAATGATCTTTATAAACTTCAAAAAAAAAATTAAGTGATAGAGACGACGAAGGCCACTGCTCTTACCCCAGATGGCTTCTTCACTCAAGAAGCTCATCTCAAGCTTTATACTTGTCTTATACTCCACTAGCGTTATCGTTGTTTCATCAGAATCTCTGTGTCGGCGATTTAAATCGATCATCAGCTTTGGTGATTCCATAGCCGATACCGGAAATTATCTCCATCTCTCTGACGTCAATCATCTTCCTCAAACCGCGTTTCTTCCTTACGGTGAAAGCTTCTTCCATCCTCCCTCCGGCCGTGCCTCTGATGGCCGTCTCATCATCGATTTCATCGGTAACTATTTTTTCCTCTCTTTACGCAAATTAAACCACTTGTTGTCGTGTCATCTGCTCTGAGTCTTTCTTGCGTGAACGTCAAGTTATAAACCCTACTACTTCTCCCTCAGTTTTTGTAAATGCTGTCTTACTATTCAAACAGCCGAATTCTTGGGACTACCGTATGTACCGCCTTATTTTGGATCCCAAAACGCGAGCTTCGAACAAGGGATCAATTTCGCGGTGTATGGAGCAACCGCATTGGATCGATCGTTTCTTGTGGGAAAAGGAATTGTGTCTGATTTCACCAATGTTAGTTTAAGTGTTCAGCTTAACACCTTTAAGCAGATTTTGCCTAACCTCTGCGGCTCGTCTTCTCGTGGTTAGAAACTCAGCCTAGTGTACTTCTCTATCAATGATGATAAATAGAGCTTAACTGGTTTTAATAGGGTTGGTTTCTGTCTATATTCAGACTGCAGAGAGATGCTTGGAGACTCACTGATCCTTATGGGAGAGATTGGAGGAAACGACTATAATTACCCGTTTTTCGAAGGCAAGAGTATCAATGAAGTCAAAGAGCTTGTTCCTCTAATCATCAAAGCTATTTCTTCTGCAATTGTGGTAACAAATATTCACATTTCCCTCCCCATACACACAAAAATATTCATGTATGTGTATTTTAACAAATCAAGCTACAAAACTTCAGGATTTGATCGACTTAGGGGGCAATACATTTTTGGTACCTGGAGGCTTCCCAGCTGGATGTTCTGCGGCTTATCTTACTCTATTTCAGACCGTGGCAGAAAAAGACCACGACCCTTCCACAGGTTGTATCCCATGGCTCAACGAATTCGGAGAGCACCACAATGAACAGCTCAAGACAGAACTTGAACGACTCAGAAAACTCTATCCTCATGTCAACATCATTTATGCCGACTACCACAACTCCTTATATCGATTTTTTCAAGAACCAGCAAAATATGGTATGTGCCCCTTAAAACATTTTCATTGACCATCATATGGTTTATTTCATTAAACGATGTTTTTGTTTGTCTCTTTAATTAGGCTTTAAGAACCATTTGGCTGCTTGTTGTGGAGTCGGAGGTCAATACAACTTCACTATTGATAAAGAGTGTGGATATGAAGGAGTTAGCTATTGTCAAAACCCTTCTGAGTATGTGAATTGGGATGGTTATCATTTAACCGAGGCCACGTACCAGAAGATGGCTCAGAGCTTACTCAACGGTCCCTATGCAACTCCTTCTTTCGACTGGTCCTGCCTTGGCTCTGGTTCAGTGGGTGAAGAGTATTCTTTCAGCAGTTAAAATTCATTTGTTGTAAAAAAATGAAAGAGGAAGTAAATTATGTGATGATGATGATTAACAACAACAGATTGCTTGTAACGCAAGATTTGACTAATGACAAAAGAAACTTCGAGGAGAGGATAAGTGCTAACCATGTATCAAAGGGTCGCTTCCCGTGGCTAACAAACGAACACTCCTTAGCATGACTAGGCAGCACATGGGATGAAACTCGGATCCTCCACCATAGGAGAAGTGATCAATGTAGCTAATCATGTTCCTGACGTGGTTGCCTATAGCCAACTTTAGATTTTAGTGTGGCCATAAATGGATAAGTTGGAAATATGTCAAAAGTAAAAAAAAAAAAAAAAAAGATATATGAAAAGTAAGAGATTTTGATACACAAATAACGTGGTCTGGATCAAAAAAGTTTTGATAACATAAATAACGTGATCCGAATCAAAACTAAAAAAAAATGATAAAAATAGATTTTAATAATACAAGGCGTGATCCGAATCAAATCCAAAATAGATGTAGATGAAGGTTTACTTTTTGATACCACGAAATTGTCTGAATCAAAAGCAAGATAAAGGCTATTAAACGAAAAATTCTTGGGTTCACCCCTAGGAGTGAACCCATCTCATTCACCCCCTCTAACCTAACCAATCAAAATATAATAATGTGCCATGTCATTTTCTATTTAAAAAATAAATCAAAATTAAAATCATAAAATAAAACAAATTAAGGAAACAAATTCTGTAGGATTTTTATTTAGGAAATTTTATTTGGTTTGGGTTTATAAAATAATGGTTAGGGTTTAGATTTTATAAATAGATGAATTTATTTTTTGGTTTGGGTTTATAAATAGTGGTTAGGGTTTATATTTTCTAAATAAACAAAATTATATTTCGGTTTGGGTTGATAAAATAGTGGTTAGGGTTTAGATTTTGTAATGAAACGAAATTATATTTTGGTCTGGGTTGACAAAATAGTGGTTAGGGTTTAGATTTTGTAATTAAACAAGTTTATATTTTGGTTTGGGTTCATAAATTAGTACTTTAGGGTTTAGATTTTATAAATAAACTAAATTATATTTAAGTTTAGGTTAATAATATAGTGGTTAGAATTTAAAGTTTGTAATTAATAAGATAAATTATTTTAATTTATTTAATTAGATGACATGGCTAATTTTGATTGGTTAGCTTAGAGGGGGTGAATAAGATAGGTTCACCCCTAGGGGTGAACCCAAGAATTATTCCTATTAAACCAAATTGATAGGTCTCAATCAAAGTGTATAGGAACAATTGACACAAACGTATTTAGTGGGCTGTTAAAACTTCCTTTTCTTATCATTGTTATTAGCTTATAACACTAACAAAGAATTGGAACTATCAAGTTTGAGAGAAAATAAGGAATGTTATAATAAAATAAACACAAAAAGATATCTACCATATCCAAATTCAAGTATAAACCAAAATACATAACCCCTAAACCGATCTATCCTTATAACAAAGATTATGGCCTTGATTGGTTGTGTCTTTAGAAACTTTCCACAGCCAAATTTTGATCTATAGCACTAAACCTAAAGCAATCAAACTTTATAAATTTTTGATTTCTTTTTTTATCCATAGCCAAAATATTTTCTTAATCATTATTTTTGGCTGTACAAAGCATTTTTTCCTAAAGCACATAATTTTAAGCTTTCCAAAATTATAATTTCTAAATATTAAAATTAAAATTATAATTTCTAAAGCATCTTTTTGTAAGAGCAACTCAATATTAAGAAAGGTAAAAAAGAAACTGAAAAGTAAAAGGGAAGCTCGGTTCTCGTTTCAAAATCTGTGAGAAACGTTTTTTACACACTTGGCTCTAAAACCATTCCCATTAGTCATTAAATAAAATATTTTTTTAGATATAAAAACAAAATAAGATTAGCGTTAAAGACACTTTTATGATCTCCAAAATAAAAATGTCTTTAAATTTTAAATAGATTTATATTTAAGACTTCTAGATCTAATCTTAAGTGTCGACAAAAAAAAAAAAAAAAATCTAATCTTAAGTGCATTTTAGTCATCTAATATTAATCTGGACGTTACTGAAGTTATTTATTAAACAACGAACACTCAACGGTAGTTTCTTAAATCTGATTTCCCCAATTTACTCTTTCGTGTTTGGGTAATACACTAATTACTCAAACTATGCATTATTTAATGGTCGAAACAGGCTTATATATAAAAAAGAAAGCAAAAAAAAATAATCGAGTAACAGAGACAACGACGTTACTCTCCCCATGGCTTCCCTCATCTCATGCTTTCTACTTATCTTATACTCCACCTACAACATTGTTGCCTCATCCGAATCTCGGTGTCGGCGTTACAAATCGATCATCAGCTTCGGTGATTCAATTGCCGACACTGGAAATTATCTACGTCTATCCGACGCCAAGAATCTTCCTCCAGTGGCATTTCTTCCTTATGGTGAAAGCTTCTTCCATCCTCCCTCTGGCCGTGCCTCCGATGGCCGTCTCATCATCGACTTTATCGGTATCTTATTTTTCTTTCCTGTCTAGTCTATCAATACATGATGGTAAAACTGTTTGTTATCATCTGCTTTAGTTCTTTCTTGCTTGAACAGCAAGTTAGATACTCTACGTACTCGCTTATATTGAGTTTTTTTTTATAAATATTGTCTTCGTATTTGCTCAGCTGAATTCTTGGGACTACCGTACGTACCGCCTTACTTCAGATCCCAAAACGTTAGCTTCAACCAAGGGATCAATTTCGCCGTGTATGGAGCAACCGCCTTAGATCGTGCGTTTCTTTTGAAACAAGGAATCAAATCTATTTTCACCAATATTAGTCTTAGTGTTCAGGTTAACACCTTCAAGAAGGTTTTACCTAACCTCTGTGCCTCTCCTACTCATGGTAACAAACTTAACCTTGTTCTCTTCCAAATCTATATGATCCATTGAGCTTGCTTGCTTCTCTTAATGTTGCTTTCTGGTGGTTTAGATTGCAGAGTGATGCTTGGAGACTCGCTTATACTCATGGGAGAGATTGGAGGGAACGACTATAATTACCCATTCTTCGAAGGAAGAAGTATTAATGAAATCAAAAAGCTGGTTCCTCTCGTTATCAAAGTTATTTCTTCTGCAATTGTGGTAACAAATTAAATATTTATTTACATAAGCCCTCCCTTTAAAAGTCTCTGTTTTCAAGTTTAATAAATTGAAGTAACAAAAATTACAGGATTTGATCGATCTAGGGGGGAAAACGTTTCTTGTCCCTGGAAACTTCCCAATAGGATGTTCCACTGCGTATCTTACTCTATTTCAGACCGCGAAAGTAGAACACGACCCTTTCACAGGTTGTATCCCATGGCTCAATGAATTTGCAATTCACCACAACGAACAGCTTAAGACAGAACTCAAACGACTCCAGAATCGATATCCACATGTCAATATCATTTACGCCGACTACTACAACTCCTTATACCGTTTTTTCCAAGAACCAGCTAAATACGGTCCGTTCCCCTAAATAATTATGTCTTTTGACTCTCAGATTAATTATTATTCTCTAATTTATATCTTGTTGGTCTTTTTTCAATTAGGGTTTAAGAACCGACCTTTGGGTGCTTGCTGTGGAGTCGGAGGTCAATACAACTTCACTATCGGTAAAGAGTGTGGAGACAAAAGAGTTAGCTATTGTCAAAAACCTTCAGAGTATGTGAATTGGGATGGTTATCATTTAACCGAAGCCGCATACCGGAAGATGGCTCAGGGTTTACTCAACGGTTCTTATGCAATTCCTGCTTTCGACTGGTCCTGTCTTGACTGAGTTGACTTTGGTTCAGTGAATAAATATGATAAGTTAATTTTTTAAATAATTGGTTGAATCTCTTGTGATTGGTCTATGAGTATATTACGGTTATTAAAGACGAGAGATTCGCCCGTGTGTATTCCATGCAGTACCTTACGTGTCTTTATGTCTTTATACGTGGCATTTAGCTTATATCTAAACTGGACGTTTCTGAAGATCTTTTCAACCATTTGAGAAAGGAAACAAAAAAAACTTCCCAAGTTTACTATTTTCTTGTTGGCAATGGTAAATGAAAAAGGATGATAAAAATGGAAGTGATAGAAACGATGAAGATAACTCTCCCTATGACTTCTTCACTGAAGAAGCTCATCTCAACCTTTCTACTTATCTTGTACTCAACCACCGTTACTATTACTTCATCAGAATCTCGATGTCGGCGTTACAAATCGATCATTAGCTTCGGTGACTCCAGCGCAGACACTGGAAATTATCTCCATCTCTCTGACGTCAATCATCTTCCTCAAGCAGCCTTTCTTCCTTATGGCGAAAGCTTCTTCCATCCTCCCTCTGGCCGTTACTCCGACGGCCGTCTCATCATCGATTTCATTGGTACTTAGTTTTTTTTTTCTCCTTCCTAACAGAGATATAAGCAAAAAAAAAAAAAAAAAACATTTGTTGGCCTCTGGTTTAGGTCATTCTTGCTTGAACAGAAAGTTAGAAACCCTAATTGATTTCTGAGTTTTGTATAGAAGTGTATAGAATAAGTTAGAATATCTTTGAATATATTTCTCATAATAATCTCATTTATGTATTTGTGTATATTAGGATTAGGGAACTAGGTCATTTAGGTTTACCATTCTCCTCCTTATGTAAACCAATGTAACTATTATTGTAATCTTTATGAGAGTTAATATAATATTTCCTAATCAATAGTGTGTTCTTCTCTCATCAACCTTTTACATTTTGGACAGCTGAATTCTTGGGACTACCGTACGTAACGTCTTACTTTGGATCCCAAAACGTGAGTTTTGATCAAGGGATCAATTTCGCGGTGTATGGAGCAACTGCATTGGATCGTGGGTTTCTTGTGGAAAAAGGAATAGAATCTGCTTTCACCAATGTTAGTCTAAGTGTTCAGCTAAACATCTTCAAGCATATTTTACCTAACCTTTGCATCTCATCTTCTCCTGGTTAAAACCTTGGTCTTGTTCTCTTCCATATCTATGATGTTGAGTCGAGTTCGCTTGGAATGATCTTTTTCTTTTGGGGTTTAGATTGCAGCAGAGAGATGCTTGGAGATTCGCTGATACTCATGGGAGAGATCGGAGTAAACGACTATAATTACCTGTTCTTTGAAGGCAAAAGTATCAATGACATCAAAGAGCTTGTTCCTCTAGTCATCAAAGCTATATCTTCTACGATTGTGGTAACAAATAGTTTTGAATTCTTCCTTCCCCTCCCCCTCAAAAAAAAATTATCATATGTGTTTGTAACAAAACTATAGGATTTGATCGATTTGGGGGGCAAAACATTTCTGGTCCCCGGAAACTTCCCAATCGGGTGTTATGCGGCGTATCTTACTCTATTTCAGACCGTAGCAGAAGAATACTACGACCCGTTCACAGGTTGTCTACCATGGCTCAACGAATTCGGAGAGTACCACAATGAACAGCTCAAGAAAGAACTCAAAACACTCCAAAAGCTCTACCCCCATGTCAACATCATTTACGCTGACTACTACAACTCTCTGTACACGTTATACAAAGAACCAGTCAAGCATGGTTCGTACATTTCTTAAAATTGTGTCCTTTACAGTCACGGTTTGACATCTTGACTGATGTTTTATGGTCTCTTTTAGGGTTTAGGAACCGACCTTTGGCTGCTTGTTGTGGAGTCGGAGGTCAATACAACTTCACTATCGATAAAGAGTGTGGATATGGAGGAGTTAGCTACTGTCAAAACCCTTCTGAATATGTGAATTGGGACGGTTATCATTTAACCGAAGCAACGCACCAGACGATGGCTCAAGGTATCCTCAATGGCCCCTATGCAACTCCTTCTTTCGACTGGTCCTGCTTTGGCTCTGAATCTGTTGATAAAGAGTGTTCTTTCAGTAGTTAAATAGCAGCTTTTGTGCAAAAGAGAATAAAATATATGGTGATGGTGATGATTAATAAGAACAGGTCTGGCAAGGTTTTGACATAATATGATATTGACTTATGACAAAAACCATAAATGATTCTATTAATGATAATTAAGGTGTAAAGAAATGCCACAAAAATTATGTGTGACTAAAATGTGATGCAAGATAGCTCAAGGTTCCGATCTGGCTCCAAGACCAAATTGTAAAAGATGCATTGTTTTTCACTTCAAATTTTTTTATCGTTTAGAAAAAAAGTTAAACCCAAATATATTTTTACTTTTCCATTGTAATGTTAGATATCAGTTGAGTATATAGATGATTTTATCCTGCTCGTTATTAAAGCAGAACATTACAAGTCCAACAGCATGTGACACAAAAAAAAATATCCAAGATACAATAAGCCTATATGTAACTGATTTATATATATACGAGTGTAATGAACACTGATGAAAATTATCTAGAGTACTTGCCGATAATGCAACCTCTAATTCTCCTAAAACTTCACATTATAAGAAAATATTTGGATTATTCTTAGTGATTGTAAATAGTTTTCGTAACTTCTGTTTCTTCTAAATAAAACTCATTTGAACAAAAATCATTTGCCTAAAATGTCAACATGGTATCAGAGCCAGCTTTATTAAAACCAACAACACAAGTCTAACATTATATTTTAGACTTGTTATCTCATAATGTTGGACTTGTGATGTTTGCTTCAATACTCTTCGGTTGCAATTTAGCTGGTTTCACTTTCTTGGTTTAGAAACTCGATCATAGATCTTTCAGTTAGTTTGTGTATCTACTCTTCCCCTAATGGGCGATCAAACTGAAGGCATTATATCTAGTGTTTGAGTTAGAATTAAGGAATTCTTTTATACTTTTTGGTCAAATCAATTTATGTTTTTTTTTGAAAGAAAACTCGTAACAAATACGCCATCCACTAAATATTTTGATACTCCAATACACCCAGAAAATAAATAATCTGGTCTAGTCTAGAGAAAGTTTAAAGGTTAAACAAAAATTTACTATTACGATCAACAGTTTGATAGGAAGCTAAGTACTTTCTTTTATAATTAACTTATTTAATATTTTCAGGCACATTCCTTTATACTTAACTTAAGACTATTGCGAAATTTTGATAAAATTTTATTTTCTAATACCATGTGTACTACAACTAATTAACTTGAAAAAAATAAACTGTAGTTAGTAATAATTTACTAATTTCAAACTAACCGGACTAAAATAAACCATAGTCATTCTTCCATCGTCCTTCCGTCATATACGTTCTCTTTTTGTTTGTTCTCAGTCTCTGATCTTAGATCTCTTGTAGTTCTTAGAAAAAACAAAAAAACGAAGAAGACGAAAGAGTGCTAGGATTATTTTTCCATGTGTATTAGGTACATACCAATTTATAAATCTATTCATTAGTTCACAATGAGCTAATACCATTGAGCTTACAAGCATATACATATATGGAATTTAACATATTTCTAGTTTTATTAAAAAAATATATCATACATAGTTTGATATATGTCGTTCCTATATCATACTCTAAATTATTAAATTGGTGTATTCAGTTTTACATATATTATTTCATTATGAATCTTAAATATTAAATATAAGAAAATTTTAATTATTAAGATTTTTTCAAGAACTTTGTAAGATTTTAAAAAACAAAATAAAAGAAGCGAAGTATTTGCTTCTGGCTTATCATATTTTTAGTATATACAAATACATATACTAAAGTGGACTGCATAGATAGTATATATATATATATATATATATATATGTATATTATGAAATGTAAGATTTGTTTATAGGGTAGTTTTTTGTTTTTGTCTAATAAGAATCTCTTACTAAATCTACAATGTATAACTTTCTTTTCTTTTAAGACAGGTGTATCGTAGCTAAAAAAGTAGACCATTGATTTATCAAATCTTTTTTTTTAATCTAATTTTTACTAAATTTGCTTATCTAAGTATAGCTAAACAAAATTAGTTCACATTAAAAAAAAAAGGAGAAAAATAACTTCATGAGAAGTCAAATTATGAAAGCAAAAAAGAAAAAAAAAATCTGATTACTTGTCTCTTACCAAAGTGACAGTATTTTAAAGTTATACAAAAAAAGATAACTTTCCGAGTTTGACAAAATCTAAAAAGAAAGTGTAACGGTTGCAAAAAGGGACAGTTAAAGGAGTCAGAGAGACATGTGTCAGTTGGGGAGCAGCATCATAAGCAACGAACGGTGGAGATTGTACAGAAACTAATGTAAGCTGCACGTGTAACAATCATTGTCACTCTATTCTTTTTTCTTTCTATGTTTTTTTATGATTATTTCTTTGTATATTATTTTTTTTACCTTAAATTAGATTAGTCAAAACAGTCTTTTCTGATTTAAGTAAAAACCAGATTTAAGAGTGACAACTTAGTGTCAGATCACAGCTTGTTTTTCCAGCTTGGAATTGTCTTTTGACTAAATATGACTTGTCTACATAAATATAAATCTAATTAGTTTTTAGATTTTATAGGAAAAAACTACTAATTAGCTGTGATTTTCATAATTATTATTAAAGTATTAGGTAAATTTTTTCAGGGTAAATTGGTTCAACAAATTTTAAACTTCAGTATTAAAGCATTAGTAAAAAAAAAGAACTAACAGTTCTATGCATTATATTAGCATGAAATTCACATTAAATTTTATAATTAGCGGCGCCGTATAACGACAATATAGTTAAGTTTAATCTATCTAACGTAATTATTCAAAAATGTAAATTAATTTTTATTAAGTTCTCAATTGCGGCGCCGCCAAAGAAATCTACATTTATAGTTTAAATAGTGAATTACGTATATTTACTTAAGATATTTTAGTGAATTAGCTAGTGTTTATCTTTATACATTATACATTATGTGAAATAAATCAAAATATTTACTTCAGTCAAGTGTATCTATTTACTGAGGGTAATATTGAGGGTGAATCAGAGAGTTCTGAATAGTGACAAAAAATATATTTGTAATTCACCATATATACTTTTAAAGTAAAAAATCTAAAAAAGTTGGCAAAGGAAAAAAAGATAAAAAAGTTTTTGACACATGTCGTGATGAGGATAAGGTAGCTCAGAGCTTCTCTATTCGACATTGGGTATATATATATGTGCCTATATGGAATGGCTTCTCAATCTCACCAACACACCTCTCTCTCACAATTTCCATATCTCTCAAACTAACCACATTTCACTCAAACTCGATCCAGTTAAGTGTTTTTCCTTTCGTTTTCTTTGCAGTTTAGCTCTATACTTTTTTCCAAATCCTCTATGAAGGCTTTTTGAATTTACAGAAGAGACTTCTTAGAGTTCTGTCTAGATAAAAGGTCTATGCAATACTGATTTTCTTAACATGTAACCATTTAATCTGTATAGTTGATTTCTATGTAACGTTTTTCTTTTGATCATTCTTCACACAAATTTCTTGTCTCCTTTGATTTTAATTTTCTTTGTTGTTTGTTCTCTTTGTATATAAGATCTTAGATTTCATTTCTTCAGTAATTGTTTTGTATATACATTATTTAGTTTTTGATATTTTGTTATTCAATTTCAAGATGAAAGACTTCAGAAAAGTTTATCAATGTTGTCATTTGATGGAGGAGGCACTAAAAGCCAGAAGTTTTTTTTTTCCTGTATACTGATATTTTAGAGGCTTTCAAGCATTTATTATTATTTTTTTTTTCCAAAACGTAGTTAATCTTAAAGGGAAAAAATGGCTTTTATAAAGGAAAAAAATTATTTTCTTAAAGGAAAAAAAAAGTTAGCATTTACAAATAAATAAAAGAATCATGAGTCACAAGCTAGTTTTTTTACCAGGTTCCTATCAAGGCTCTCTGTTTGTTATATGTGAATTAAATTTTAATATTGTATTTTCTTCCCCATATGCTAAATTACTTTATTTTCTAATATATTATATTTATTTCAATTAATGATTATATCAGGTACATATGGATCAAAGTTTTCCATTTAGTCCTTCGTGGTTTCCCCCATCACCAGAACCATTTCCTCAATCAATGGTATACAATCTTCACAATTGTGTTCTCGTGCTTTGCTATATAGAATCTCGATTTTGATATATCTATACGATGAATGAACTAAAGTGTTGGCTTTGTGGAATTTTAAAGGAGTTTCTGCAAGACCCTTTAATGGTAGAATTTGAGAACATGGACGAAGTACTTGCTGGATCGTTCGATGTTCCTGCAGTAATCGGCGAAGCTTATCCCTCAACGATTACACAACAACCATGTTGTCCAGAGTCATTAACCATACCACAAAGTCCACCTAACGTGGTACGTTATTTACATTTTCTGTAAAACATTTTAATCATTACTAGAGGCCTTTGAAACTAAACATTTCATGAAAGCATATTTTGTATAATTAAGTTCGTTTTTTTTCTCTATCCAAGCAACCACAAGACCAATCATCCTACGTTGCACCTGGATATGTACAACATCCTGATCAACAAGATTTAGCAAATCCAGACTTGCTCAATTCCTTTCAAGAGCCAGATGTTTCTTCAGTGGTATGTTATAAAACATATTTAAATTTTGGTTATCAAGTTTTCAATTAATATTATTATTTTATTTTTAATTTACATTTATGAGCCATATGCTATATGTTATTGCTAAACCCTTAATGGTAATATATTAATCACTTAATTTTTTTTATTTTGCCTAAACAACAGCAGCAACATAAACAACCACCATCATCCAATTTCAATGGATCTTTACAGCAATACGATCACCAAAGTTTACTAATTCCAAACATGATGTATCCTCAGTCGCCAGATGCTTATACAATGGTAAGTTATGGGTTTTTTTTTCTTCATAACATTCATTATGATCCAGAAATAAAATTATCCAATTCACATGAATTCGTTTTTGTTTTGCCTTAGCAGCAGGAGCAAGTACCACCACTATCCAATTCACATGGATATGAACAGCAATATGATCAACAAGGTTTATTAAATCCAAACATGCTGAATTCTTCTCATGAACCTGATGTTTTTACTATGGTAAATCACAAAATTTCATTTTTTTTTAATATCAATATGTACATTGCATTAGCCATATTAGATTCCATATATGCTATGAAACTAATTAATGATAATACATTTATAATTAAATTCGTTTTGATTTTGCCTACGCTGCAGCAACAACAACAACCATTATCCAATATACATGGATATTTACAACAATCAGATGATGAAGATTTATTACAGAACATGCTGAATTCTTTTCAGGAGCCAAATCCTTATCCAATGGTACGTTAGATGTTAATATTTTTTTCCAAATTATCAAATTAGTATATGCCATCAAAACTAAACCATCATTGATAATAGATTGATAACTAAACTCATTGTTTATTCCTTTTTTTTTTTTTTGATCAACTCATTTTTTATTCCTTTGTAGCAAGAACAACAACAATTGTTTTGCGACGACTCACATGAGCATGTACAAGGAAACTTGCCGAACATACAACCAGATCAGCAATACTTATCTAATGAAAACATGACAAATTCATTTCAAGAGTCAAATGATTCTACAATGGTAAGTAAAACTTTTTTCCCCCAAATTTTCTTCATCATTAATTAATTTTAAGATTAATATGTATTTCATGATGAGCCAGATCAATATTGTTCAGCAAAGCGAAGAAGGAGACAACGGATATGCTGCACATCAACAGCCAATGACTGATTGTTTTGAGTTACCAAATCATCTTGAAGATATGTTTCAAACAGCACCTGTGTATGTAACAAATTGATTACAAACACAATACTTAATGTATATACATGTAGCAATGATCTACAATTTCTAATGTCTATTTTATTTTTATGAAAATGCAGATCAGAAAATTACCCGACATATTCGGAGTACCAACATGGTCCGATTGGTTCAGATTTCAACATGGACGACCAGATGGCACCTCCGAGAGTTTCAACAAACAGAGAAGACGAACATCTCGCCCCAAGGATGGTCACAGATATGGCTATGTAAGTTCATCTGTTTCCCGTAAATACTATATAGTCGAAATATGGAAAATGGTCACACGAGTTGTGACTCTGCTTCAATTCAAGAATTGGTCTTTGCTTATTAATTTATCTTATTAATCAATGTCTATATATGTAGTACTTTTTTATATATTTGTTTCACTAGAAAATATAGGTGTTATAATAATTAGTTTTTCCAACCAAAAATTAACTAATCTTTATTATTATATAAGATCACTATTCTATATTAAATTGTTAAGTTAATGCAGAGATAATCCTCTACAAAATCAGAACTCTACTAGCACTTTTCAACCAGAAATGCCATCGAGCTTTACCGGGTATGTATCATTCTAAGTTTTAGTCTCTGTTATATATGTGAAATACGCGTAAATATTTGTTTCACCAAATAACGACAGTTATATAGTCATATAGAACATACTGTAATTCTATAAATTTTCGTTAAATAATTTCGGTTAATGCAGGACTTATTCTCAACAAAGTCAAATATCTAGCATTCCACCTCAAGCTCAAATGTCGTCGAGCTATACTAGGTATATATATTACTTTTAAGTTTAATCACTCTTAAATTTTATATATATATATATATCTATCTGTGTTAAGCGATTTGAGCTGCGTAGGACTTGTCCTCTGCAAAATCAAAATTCGATGATGCATCTTCGATCTCAAATCCCTTCTATCTCTACTAGGTATATGTATATATATTTATTGTTGCAAGTTTAATCTCTTTCTTAAATCTAATATATTTATGTTAAATTATGGTTGATGTAGGGTTTATCCTACGCAAAGTCAAAATGCGATGATGCCTCTTCCATCTCAAATGCCTTCTAACTCTACTAGGTATATATATATTTATTGTTTTATGTTTAACTTCTCTTAAATCTTACATATTTGTGTTAAAAAATGGTTAACGTTGGGCTTATCCTCCACAATATCAAAATTTCGATGATGCCTCCTCCATCAAAAATGTCTTATAGCTCTACTAGGTATATATATTTATTGTTTTATGTTTAATCTCTCTTAAATCTTATATATTTGCGTTAAATTACCATTATTGTAGGGCTTATCCTCCACAAAATCAAAATTCAATGACGCGTCCTCCATCTCAAATGCATTCTAGCTCTACTAGGTATATATATATATATATATTGTTTTAAGATTAATCTCTCTTAAAGCTTATATATTTGCGCTAAATTATGGTTATTGTAGGGCTTATCCTCCACAAAAACAAAATGCGATGATGCCTGCTCCATCTCAAATGCCTTCTAGCTCTACTAGGTATTTATATATCTATTTATTTATTGTTTTAAGTTTAATCTCTCTCTCAAATATTATATATTTGTGTTAAATTATGGTTAATGTAGGGCTAATCGTCCACAATATCAAAATTCGATGATGCCTCCTCCATCTCAAATGCCATCTCAAATGCCATCTCAAATGCCTCCTAGCTCTACTAGGTATATATATATATATATATATTATTTTAAGTTTAATCTCTCTCTTAAATCTTATATATTTGTGTTAAATTATGGTTAATGTAGGGCTAATGGTCCACAATATCAAGATTCAATGATGCCTCCTCCATCTCAAGTGCCTTCTACCTCTACTAGGTATATATATATTTATTGTTTTAAATTTTATATATTTGTGTTAAATTCTGGTTAATGTAGAGCTTGTCCTCCACAAAATCAAAATTCGATGATGCCTCCTCCGTCTCAAAGGCCATCTCAAATGCCTTCTACCTCTACTAGGTAGTTTATTATTTTAAATATATTATTCTATGTTTAGTCTCTCTATATAGTCGGTCACGAAATCTAGAATAAGGGTTAGAGCAACCTCATTCATGAGATTTAATTATGATATCTTAGAAGTAGTTTATTAATTAATTTAATTAGGGAAGTAGTTTTATATCTTATGGTATCTTAGGAGTAGTTTTATATCTTATGCAAGATACCATATCTTGCTAATTAACCTTGTTTTTGCTTTTTAATTAAATGATTAATCATCTAAGATATCACTTAAATCTCATCAATAAGGTTGCTCTAATATTTGTTTTTCTTCAGTGGCAATTTAATATTTGGAACTGATCATTTACATTTCTCAATTGTATATAGGAACAATGGCAACGCGCAAGAGTTAGTAAGTCAGCCTCTGCCGAGAGTTAGGCGCCCTCGACAACGCACTTCTACACAAAGACGTCCACGCACAAACTCAGTCACTGCTGCTCCCCTACAGGTACTATATATTTCATTCGATGAATAAACTATATAAGCTTATCTTTTGTTTTTAAGTAGTATATATATGCTAAGAGACTATATATAGTATTGATGATGATATATATATATGTATACATTACAGACCAGTACTGTTCTGGGACGTCGAAAAAGAAATGATCAAAATCACTCTGTGCAAGGAGAATCATCATCAGCTGCCCAACGAAAGGTGATACATCTTTATATATATAATTCTTTCTCCAAAATAAACTAAATTATTGAGAAAATTAAAAGATTTTAATCAAATAATGCAGAGGATCGCCATCCCAGAAAGAAATGTTGATTCAAATGCACCCAAACCTATCGAGCACAGGTTTATACCTTCTCATCTACGTTTTCATTTCACATTTTCCAATTTTTTGTCATAAGTGACCAAAAACACAAAGCTACAACCTTACTTTAGTTACATGATTATGACTTACAAATTTTTTCATATATAATTTCATACTCTTATATTTGTATCACAGTATTCTATCATTCAGTATTAAAAGTTAAAAATACCTAGGAACATTTACTAATAGAACTTTTTTACTTTCTTTGTTTCAGGGTGAAAAATGCATTATATGATCCAATATATGAAAGCCTTGGTCTAGCTATTGATCCCATGTTGAGAAAATTCCATTTTCAAAGATGAGAAATCGCTAGTAACTTTTGTATCTAGCTTTTCTAATTTATTCCTTTTTTTGTTCAATCTAATTTATTCGTTATATTACAACTTTTATGGTTTAAATTTGCTGTAGCTATGAATTTTATCGATGAATATGAACCATTAAGCATTATATCGAGAGTGATGAATTGAATACCATTCTGCTCAGATATGTTTCAAGTTTATTGTAATCTTTAATTCATCCTTCATTTTCTTTTTTTCTTTCATCTCTCTCTCTCTCTCTCTCTCTCTATATATATATATATACACACTAGTGGTTTAAATGAAAATAGATGGTTCAGTTTAATATCCATAATTTTACCAGACTGGAGATTAATTAAGAACAATTCTTAATCCTATATGCCATACAAAGCTATGGACGACTTACTCCAATACTTAGTGCGAAATATTATTTCCGTACATATACCATACAAAGCTATGAACGACTTAATCCTATAAAGGGATAATGTACTTCTAGTTCCTCAATCAATTAAATATCACAGCCTAAACTATATACACATGCATATTCCTACAGCTAGCCACGATTCCTACAACTAAATTTCCTCTAATTACTTTGGACATAAGATTCAAAGCTTTGAGAATGGTATCAACTTCGCGGTGGCTGGAACAACCGCTGTTGAGTCTGAATTGCTTCAAGAAAAGGAATCACTGCTAAACACATGACTATTTTATGTGCCTTTGTTGTATATTGTGTATTGTTATTTGAGAGAAAGTGTTAATATTGTTGTTTGGGAGTAAGTGCTATAAATGGTAAAGTAGTGTTAGTAGCTATCTCATATGATATCTCTAAAGAGATCTTGGAACAGAAGGAAAACAAAACAAAATATCCAACCTTCGAAAATGAGACACTTCGCCAATGGTAAAGATAACAAAGTAGAAGATGATAAATTCGGATAGGAGTTTGGCTAGGAGGTTTACAGTTTCATGACATATTTATATCCATATCCGGACTTCATAAATCTTTTAAAAATTAGGATATCCGGATAACAGTACATCTGTATGTATATAAACGTAAAAAAAGCATATAATGTAAATGTAAAAGATTATCTTTAATAATAACAAATCCAGATCCAGATAATCCATTCGGGTTTTAAACCACGTTATCCACGACACCTACCAATGATTAAAGATTTTTTTTTTTTTTTTTAATATCCCTATATTAGTAAAAGAGAAGTACAAAAAGTGCTTCCGAGTCGGGTCAATTTCAAAAAATTACCCGAAATTTGTAATTGCATCTTTTAAAATTGGATAGATTAATGGGTTTGGATACATACACCGGATACTTTCCAAATCTAATTTTAGGATTGTATTATTTCCATAACTAATTATAAGATTTACTAATATTTCTCTAACTAATTTAATACAATCTATTTAGAAAATATTATTCTTCTTTCACTTTTATTTGATATTATTTTTAATTTATGATATTATACTATATAATATAAATATTTAATAAAAATTTAACTTTTTTTTCATATGTTGCAATTTGAATTTTTCAAAACGGACATATAATACTCAACTACACTCGGTTAAATATTTTGGACAACGGTTTAAAATCATTATAAGTATGACCAATATTAAAACCATTGTTACATGAGCATATTTAATATTTCAAATAGTTTCAAAATATTATAAATAAAAGGTTCATATATATAAAACTTTTAGAATTTAAAATATCTAAATATTTTCTTGAAGATATAAATGTAATTTTGGAGACATGATTTTTATTGATAAAATATATTATATATCAAAATATGTAAATTTTAGATAATTCACGGGTAGTTTGTTAAAATCACAATTATAATGATAAAACGAGTTACGAATAATGTTTTTTACGAAATGAATTCTGTTACGGGTTGGACTTTCAAAAATATATTGTAAATATGTAATTTTTACGTATATTCCTACTTTTACTACAAAAATGGCCAAAATGAATAATTTATCGACAAATATTATTTCGTGCTGTTAAATTTTCACCGTGTTTTTAATTGTATCAAAACTCAGTATATGATTATTTACTCGTTTTTTCCTTTATTATTTTATTTAAACTTATTATACAAATATATGATTTACCGTAATCGACTGTACTCTAACAAAATTAAAATGTAACATATTTTAATCCGATAAAAGTTATATATATGTAATTATTTCCTCCGCGCTGTAGCGCGGATCCGAATCTAGTCCTCTTTAAAAGACGAACACCGAATGATTAAAGATTTTGTGATAACAGAGTAAATTGCTTTATTTATGATAATGAATGAGACAACAAGAACGGTTCGTTTAGTCATTATGAGTCATGACGACGACTAGTCGACTATTCTGTCCATACCCTCCATTCAATTTGGCTCTATATAACCTTTCTTTGTAGAATACTAATAAACTAATAATAACGAAAGATAGAAAAATCATTCAGGACCTCTCAAATGGCGTCTCTAGTAGTGACCATCTTTTTATCTACTATTTTTGTGACTACTATCGTCAGCTCGGAGACGCTGTGCCGTAATTTCGAATCGATCATCAGCTTCGGCGATTCGATTGCCGACACCGGGAACTTAGTCGGTCTCTCTGACCGTAACCGTCTTCCTGTGTCGGCGTTTCCCCCGTATGGAGAGACCTTCTTCCATCACCCAACCGGCCGTTCCTGCGACGGTCGTATCATTATAGACTTCATCGGTACTTCTCTTTCTATAGATATCGAGATTTTAAGTCCAAGTCTAGGCATGTGGTGGTCTCTTAGAATTAGAAGAATCCAAAATTAATTAATAATGATAGCTGTGTTTGAACTTCCGTGAGAAGAAACCAAAAGAGTCACTCATTATTTAACTACTATATTATATCCTCTGTTTTCTTGTTTTGTTTCGTCGCAACTTTTTTCGATTATTAAAATCTCTGTTTTCTTGGATATGTTTTTGGGTTCTGTTTATAGAGTTTCTTACGTAAACTCTTTTTTTAGTTTTCTTGATCTTCAAGTTAATAGTATGAGAGTGGTTTACAGCTGAATATTTGGGGCTTCCTTATGTGCCTCCTTACTTTGGATCTAAAAATGGAAACTTTGAGCAAGGAGTTAATTTTGCCGTAGCTTCAGCAACGGCATTGGAAAGTTCTTTTTTCGAGGAGAGAAGAATTTACATTCCTCACAGCAACATCAGCTTAGGAGTTCAGCTAAAGAGCTTCAAGGAGAGTTTACCAAATTTATGTGGCTCGACTTCAGGTAGTGAAAATAAAACTTTTGAGTGAGTATTATGTATTTTCAATGAACTTTTGAGGTCACTTGTATATGTTTTCTTTAGATTGTAGAGATATGATTGGAAATGCTTTGATTCTCATGGGAGAAATTGGAGGGAATGATTATAATTTCCCATTCTTCCAACGTAGACCCGTTGAGGAAGTCGAAGAGCTGGTTCCGCTGGTAGTCAGCACTATTTCTTCTGCAATCACGGTAAACATTTTAAGTCGCGAGAAGAGAGCAAAACATATTTGTTTCTACTGGTCAGTTTGTCAAGATCTATAATGTGTTTGGTGCGTTTGGGATGGACTGTTGATTCCAGGAGTTGATTGGTATGGGAGGAAGAACCTTTCTAGTGCCCGGAAATTTCCCTATTGGATGCTCAGTGGTCTATTTAACATTGTATCAGACATTAAACAAGGAAGAATATGATCCATTAACAGGATGTTTGAGATGGTTGAACAAGTTTGGAGAATACCACAACGAGCAGCTTCAGGAAGAACTCAACAGACTCAGGAAGTTGAACCCTCATGTCAGTATCATATACGCTGACTACTACAACGCTTTGTTGCGCCTTTTCGAAGAACCAGCCAAATTTGGTCAGCCTTTTCTATTATTCCATTGAATCTAATTATCAAAGTCATTGATATTGAACTGACAGATCGAGTTTCAATCAATGATACTGCCTGCAGGGTTTGGGAACAGACCCTTCCCTGCTTGTTGCGGTGTAGGAGGACCGTACAACTTCAGCTTCAATAGACGTTGTGGAAGTATTGGAGTGGAAACGTGCAATGATCCTTCAAAGTATGTGGGCTGGGACGGTGTTCATATGACTGAGGCTGCATACAAATTGATAGCTGATGGAATACTCCAAGGACCGTATGCGGTTCCTCCTTTCAATTGGTCTTGCCTCAGCTCCGAGACTAAGAATCAGAAATCATTAGACACAAATTATTCTTTGATGAACGTTCATACAACCTTGTCTAAAACTTTGAGACAAGAGAGATAATGAGAAGATAAAAAAAAGCATATATGTACTTTTTCCGATTTGTTGTATATTCTCTTGGATTCGATCTTTCAAATCAAAAGTCATCAGGTTTACAACTCTAGTCTGAATTTATGGATTGTTTGGATATATTTTTGACTTAAACCGGGTTAACCGGAGTGTACCATATCACTCTCCTACACACCATGTAGAGTAAATTATCGAGCCCCACCATTTGGTTTATGTTATCAATAGAAATAACAAAAACATCCAAATAAGCCAAAACAATATGAAAGGGAAGAGGCCTCTAGAGTCTAGTGGAATAAACGTGGTTGGTCGAAGCGAAAGCGGATCAAAGAGACGAGAGAAAATGACCGACAAGAGCCACCAATATAAAAATCTTATAGACATATTTATAATAATCTGGCTGAATTTTAATTTTAATAAGTTAATTGAAATTTTACATATTTAATTGATACAGCTGAAACTGGCGATCTTTTTTGTTTTTTTTTTTTTGTGATTAGCATAATATAACGAAATAATTAAGATTTAATAATAATAATAAAATGTGAAAAATAATCCAAATAAAAAATGGTCTAGTTAATCAGTATAATTGTAAATAATTACTAAATTTATATTATAAACTAAAACTAACATAAATAAGATAAATACGTAATTGCTTGTATTGGATCTTGCAGTTGCATACTTGCATTGTATTGTATTCAATTGTGTTGTTGGCTAAGAGAGAGTGGTTCAAGAGTGTTGTTACTATTAAAATCATATGGTATCTTTAGAGAGATGTTGGATTAGAAGGATCAGAGATTCTCCCTATGAAATGTGTCATTGGTCCATCACTTACCCATAATCAGAAACTACTCGGTTCGGTCGGGCTCACAGCAAAGTCTAATCATCCCATTTTAGAAAAAGTGTTGATGAGTTTAAACACAAACAAAACCCCACAGGACCGGAGCTAGAAAGTGAACAAGCAAACAAGGTCATCTAACTATACAATAATGAACGTAACCAAAATCTCCTATAGAGACTCCATATATAATTTCCGTTGATTCAATTAATCGACATTAAAAAAGAAACTTGTAAATATTATAATTGTGAATTGACCCACTAGCTTGTTTTGTGTGTGTTGATTTCGTTTAAGCGATACAAGTATATATAAATCTGCATCAGTTTTTATCAGTCGAAATTCAACAAAAAAGAATTATTAGTAATGATATCACATAATTACTTTCACATGTTGTTAAGTAATTCTAATTTGTACTGCCGACACTAAAGAATTACTGTAGATATCAAAAATCAAAAGTACCCGTTTTAAACAGTACAAATGCAACACGATTTTAAGCCATATAAAGCAAAATTCCTATCCCCCACCATTTTTATACAACAAGAACCACTTATTGACCCAGGACCACCCCAGCCAAACTGTAACTTTCACTCAAACAATCTATAATTGATGATCATGTAAGGAAATGCACATATATATTAAGAAATTATTTAACTTTGATTGTGTTTTCTGATTATGTAAGGAAATCGCAATGGCATCTTCTGATTATCCTCTCTTGATGATGAAGCTCGTTATCTTCATCTTTTTGTCTACTTTTATAATTGTCACTAACGTGGTGAGCTCGGAAACTCATTGCCGGGGATTCAAATCCATCATAAGTTTCGGAGATTCGATAGCCGACACTGGAAACTTGCTCGGCCTTTCAAATCCTAACGAGCTTCCTCACGTGGCGTCTCCACCCTATGGAGAGACCTTCTTCCACCATCCCACCGGTCGTTTCTCAAACGGTCGCCTCATCATAGACTTCATCGGTATGTTTATATCTATTGTGTCCTTTAATTACAAAACGTAACACACTAATTATTAAATGTGGAGTAGTATTGTGGTTATTGGTTCCTCAACTTACATCTCTCTTATGCTCTGTTTCTTTAGCTGAATTCTTGGGTTTACCGCTTGTGCCTCCTTTTTATGGATCTCAAAATGCAAACTTTGAGAAGGGTGTTAACTTCGCGGTAGGCGGAGCAACAGCACTGGAAACTTCCTTTCTTGAAAAGAGAGGAATTCACTTTCCTCACACCAATGTCAGTTTAGGAGTTCAGCTTAGTAGCTTCAAAGAGAGTTTGCCTAACTTATGTGGCTCTCCTTCAGGTAGGGAACATCAGCTCTCTTTTTCAATTTCTGTATCTGATGTACCCTGTTTTATATGGTTAGAATTAATAATGGCTTGCTTTGCAATCTTGTTTTTTAGACTGCAGGGATATGTTAGAAAACGCTTTGATTCTCATGGGAGAAATTGGAGGCAATGACTATAACTACGGCTTCTTCGCTGGCAAAAGCATTGAAGAGATCAAGGAGTTAATGCCCTTGGTTATCACTACTATCTCTTCTGCTATCACGGTAACCATTTCTCTCTCTGAATATCTCATCAAGTTCTTGATCTGCCTGGGAACAACGACTAACTGAAAAATATTCGATAACACAGGAGTTGATCAGTATGGGGGGAAGAACATTTCTGGTGCCTGGAGATTTCCCAATTGGATGCGCTGCAGTGTATTTGACATTATATCAAACATCAAACATGGAAGAGTATGATCCTTTGACAGGATGTTTGACATGGCTGAACAAGTTTGGAGAAACCCACGGCCAGCAGCTTCAAACAGAACTCAACAGACTCCAGAAGTTGTACCCTCATGTCAACATCATATACGCAGACTACTACAACGCACTGTTGCGCGTTTACCAAGAACCAGCCAAATTCGGTTAGCCTTCTTGATCTTTCTATACTGAACCTACAGAAACAAGTACATCTGTCCATTTTCTAACCGAGTTAATTATGCAAAATCAGGTTTCATGAATAGACCCTTGTCCGCTTGCTGCGGCCTAGGAGGACCTTACAACTATACCTCAATTACTCAATGTGGGACTGATGTAGTTGAAGGTTGTAGTGATCCTTCAAAGTATGTGGCTTGGGATGGAGTTCATATGACCGAGGCTGCGTACAGATTGATAGCTGAGGGTATACTAACAGGACCATATGCGGTTCCTCCTTTCGATTGGTCTTGCCACAGCTTGGAAATTAAGGACTATGGATCATCTGACACAAAGAATCATTTGATGAACAACTAATATAAGTTGGTCAAAAATTGCAAAAATTTGAGAGGATGATACTTGATAATGTCTTTTAGTGCTTCTGCTGAGTCCAAAAGTAGATTTTAGTAAACCTCATATTAATAATGGTAAATTTAAATTATATCTCTCTTCCATCGAAGTTAAGAGCTCTAAATTTTGTCTTCCCTAGAGAACAACCAAGATCCATCTACACTACTTATTTCAGTTCATCTCACAATCCACTCTTTTGCTCCAGTGATTAACAGTCAATCACACCCTTAATTCCCGTAATTAACCAAAATAAAAAATAAAAAATGTACTAAAGATTATGAGTATAAATTAATCGTTACATTTATCATAACATTCAATATATCAACAACTAAGTCATGATGAGTCTATTCATGGTATAGTTTCAATAATTGGTCATTGTTATTATCATTTCAAATGCAGCTTCTATTAGAATACAACAGTATAATGTGTTTTTAATTATTAAATAAACATAATTTTTTATAAGAAGTTACAATAAAAAGATGCAAACCATTTAATTTTCAGATTGTATTATAATATAGATCTAAAATAAAGTTACATCCAATATTTTCATTTCAAATTTTACTCTGAAAAAAAAAAAAGGGTTGAAACTTATGATTGTGAGAAATGTGTAACATTTATTTCAAAGTAGCCCAAAAGTCGCAACCACTGCATCTAATATGAACGAATAGACAAACACACACGGCAAGAGAAGCCTTTCTCTAGTCTCTACCTAACAGTTCATGATATTGTCTCCGAGCGAATAGAAAAGAGAGAGAAGAAAGAGTGTGAAACATATAATATGTTCTTAAGTGTTTGTGTTAGATCATGTATAGCTAAATAATGTTATACTACTTAGAGATATGTTTTGGATTATAAGGATCGAAGAATCATTGTTTGGAAAGTGAATACTTGGGAGTGTTTCTACTCAAATTTATGTATTGTTTGGGAGATTCAGATCACATTTCTCAACCATTTCCGTTCATAAAGAGTTTTAACGTGGCTGCTGCAGTCGTAAGCTGAAAATGACGTGGCGTGTTTGTAGAAGATTTTTTTGGTTCTTGCTGTGGACAACACTCTCAGAACACCCAAATATTTTCGTATATTTTATTTGTTTGCACATGTATAAAAGAATCATATTATAAAGTACAATATCGACAAGACACACTACCCACTGCATCCAATAATTGACATTTTTATCATTATTAAATTATCCTTTTTTATATCTATTTTTGACAAATGAATCCACAAAATCAAAAGGGACAGAGACAATCTCCAGACCTCTCGCAATGGCGTCGTCTGATTATCCACTCTTGATGATGAAGCTCCTCATCTCCATCTTTTTGTCTACTTTTGTTGTCACTAACGTGGTGAGCTCGGAAACACATTGCCGGGAATTCAAATCCATCATCAGTTTCGGAGATTCGATAGCCGACACTGGAAACTTGCTCGGCCTTTCAAATCCTAACGAACTTCCTCATATGGCGTTTCCACCGTATGGAGAGACCTTCTTCCACCATCCCACTGGTCGTTTCTCAAATGGTCGCCTCATTATAGACTTCATCGGTATGTTTTATTGTGTCCATTGACTTTACTTAAGGGCTGTGAGTAAAGGTGTAGGAAGGTCAAACCAAAAGAGTCATTAGTTTTCTTCATACTGATGCTCTTGCTTGTGTAGCAAGTTTGATTATTGTATTAAACCTAAAAATCATCTAGATACAGAACCATTCAGTTTGGTTATTGGTTACGCAGCTGATAACGCTCTCATTCTCTTTTCTATGGTTCTTCTGTTCACAGCTGAATTCTTGGGTTTACCGCTTGTGCCTCCTTTTTATGGATCTGATCAAAATGTTAACTTTGAGAAGGGTGTTAACTTCGCCGTTGGTGGAGCAACAGCGTTGGAACGTTCTTTTCTTGAAGAGAGAGGAATTCACTTTCCTTACACCAACGTTAGTCTAGGAGTTCAGCTTAGTAGCTTCAAAGAGAGTTTGCCTAACTTATGTGGCTCTCCTTCAGGTTGGGAACATCAACTCTCTTTTTCAAGTTCTGCATATGTATATGGTTAGAAGATTCATTCTGATTTCTTACGCTCCCATCGTAAAGCAGAATTAGTACTCAGCTTTAGTTTAGACGTTGAGAGTCACAATACTAAGAAAAAAAGAAAAGAGAAAACCACAGTCGTTCTGTTTTGGGTTCTGCTTAGTGTAATAGCATTTGACTGATGCAATGAATGAAGCTCATTTTTACGAAAAATGGCTTACAATGTAATCTTGTTTTAGACTGCAGGGATATGATAGAAAATGCTTTGATTCTCATGGGAGAAATTGGAGGAAATGACTATAATTACGCATTCTTTGTTGGCAAAAGCATTGAAGAGATCAACGAGTTGATTCCCCTGGTTATCTCTACTATCTCTTCTGCTATCACGGTAACCATTTCTCTAAATTTTTGATTATCTAGATCAAATTTTTGAGCTGCTGCTTGAGAACAACGACGGGCTGAATATTCGATAACACAGGAGTTGATCAGTATGGGGGGAAGAACATTTCTGGTGCCTGGAGAATTCCCAGTGGGATGCTCAATAGCCTATTTGACATTATATCAAACATCAAACACGGAAGAATATGATCCTTTAACAGGATGTTTGACATGGCTGAACAAGTTTGGAGAAAACCACGGCGAACAGCTTCAAGCAGAACTCAACAGACTGCAGAAGTTGTACCCTCATGTCAACATCATATACGCAGACTACTACAACGCTCTATTGCGCGTTTACCAAGAACCAGCCAAATTTGGTTAGCCTTCTTGCTCCTTTTATTGAACCTAGACAAACTAGTACCTACATTAGTCAAGTTGCTAACGATTTAATTATGCAATCAGGATTCATGAACAGACCCTTGTCCGCTTGCTGCGGAGTAGGAGGACCTTACAACTATACCCCAGGTAGGAAATGTGGGACTGATGTAGTTGAAAGTTGTAATGATCCTTCAAAGTATGTGGCTTGGGACAGTGTTCATATGACTGAGGCTGCGTACAGAGTGATGGCTGAAGGTATACTAAAGGGACCCTATGCAATTCCTCCTTTTAATTGGTCTTGCCTCAGCTCTGAAATTAAGGACTATGGATCATCATCTGACACAGAATTGTTTAATGAACAACTTATGTAAGTTGGTCAAAAATTTGAGAGAAGGATACTCATAAATCATAATATACCATGTATGATTGTTATTTAGTGATTGTCTTGAATCATGTTCATGCATTATTATTGTTGTTATGTTAGATAAATTGCAAAGGTCAAATTGTAGCTAATTTGAATAATTGTAAGTGAGTTTGGAAAATGGCAAAAAAAAAAGAAAAAAAAAATCTATAGGCAAATGAAGATTTGTTATATTGCATTGAGCACAACCAAAAAAATCCTTTAGTGTAATTTTTTTGTTAATATTTCTTGTGGTTATTTGTTAACATGATAGCCTGATGGACTGGCCTAATCTAATGGTTGAAAGTGGACTGGTCACTATTATTATCATTTTAATATGGCAAGGATATCTGGTTTTGATTACACGAATCGAGATTCTTGGGTTGTATCAAGAAGAGTAAGAAAACATTAAATATGAACAACTAGGCCATCATCCCTACTGTATCTAATATATTGGTTTTGTATCTTTTCTAACAATTTGGAGTTCATATGACCGAGGCTGCGTACAGATTGATAGCTGAGGGTATACTAAAGGGACCTTATGCGATTCCTCCTTTCGATTGGTCTTGCCTCAGCTCTAGAAAACTTATGAACAATGGAGGATCATATGACACACAAAATTCTTTGAGGAACAACTGATCTAAGTTGGTCAAAAAATATGAGAGAAGGATACTGATAAAACCATGTATGTTCTTTAGTTGTTTTTTGGGTCATGGAAGTCAAGAACGAAGAATGGTGGGATAATTTCAACTTGTTCATCTTATCATTTTTGTCTTCTTTGTTCCTCCAAAATAAAATTAAAAATCCAGTAGACATCATGGGACCATATATATAATTTGTGTGTGTGTTTTTTTTCCTCCAAGTATGCAATTATTTGTTATATAAATAAAAATCAGTTTAATAGATATTACTAAATAACAAAAGAAATATAAGAAACTTTTTAGACATGAAGCGTACAAACGATTTTATTGATTAATATTAAATAGTTTCATTGAAACCCAAACCAAAAAAAAAAACAAAAAAAGCGGGGGTTGTGGTAGTTGAAGAGATAAATTGTTGAACGTTACTTTCAGAAGTTATGACAGAGACTCTTTTAGCCTCAAACTTAAAATCCCAAGCAGTGGCTCTGCTTTTGCCTGGCCCTTGTCTTCTTCTTCTCCTTCCATGGAGTCTCCAAATTGTTATCGGTTCAAGAAACTCACTACGACCTTCTTCCTCCTTACTTTGCTAACCACATTCGTAGTTAGCTCAGAGGTACAACAGTGTCGGAATTTCAAATCGGTCATCAGCTTCGGCGATTCTATTACCGACACTGGAAACTTGCTGGCTCTCTCCGACGCTGACAACCTTCCTCACTCCGCCTTTCCACCTTACGGAGAAACCTTCTTCCACTTCCCCACCGGCCGTTTCTCCAATGGTCGCCTTATCATCGACTTCATCGGTACTTCTTCTCCTCCTCCTTATTTTTTATCTAAATCTAATTTGAGTCTTGAAAAAAAATAGTCTTCTTCGATTAAAGTATTAAACATTTGTTTTAAACCTGTTTAGTCATTCTTTCTCTGTTTTTTTTCTTTTTCTTCTCTAGTACTACTGCAAGTTAACAACAGTATAAGACCTTTCTTAAGTGATTCTCCATTTTTGCTTCTTCTTTACAGCTGAATATCTGGGGCTTCCGCTTCTGCCTCCTTTCTATGGATCTCAAAATGCAAGCTTTGAGAAAGGAGTTAATTTCGCTGTAGCGGGTGCAACCGCATTGGAACAAGCAGTTCTTGAGAGCAGAGGAATTCATTATGATTACACCAATGTTAGTTTAGGAGTTCAGTTTAAGAGCTTCAAGGAGAGTTTACCCAATCTATGTAATTCAACTACAGGTAATGAATATTTCTTTGTTCTATATATGTCTTATACGGTTAAGAATATGTCGAATATGATTTGTTTCTTCTTACATAGAATTTACCAATTCTATGATACAAGCTCACTTGTTCTGTATTGTAATGATTCTTTTGTTTTCTTAGATTGCAGAGAAATGATTGGTAATGCTTTGCTTATCGTTGGAGAGATTGGAGGGAACGATTATAACTACGGGTTCTTGGTTGGTAAAACCGTCGAGGAGCTCAAAGAGCTGGTTCCGCTAGTAATCAGTTCTATCTCTTCTGTGATTACGGTAAACATTATTCTTTCCCATAAACCCTTTTTCTTGATTAATCTGCACAAAACAGAGTGAATCTTGAATGCATATAAATTAACAAATGTATATATAGGAGTTGGTAAATATGGGAGGCAAAACCATCATGGTGCCTGCGGACTTCCCAGTTGGATGCTGGACAGTGTTATTAACTGAGTATCAGATATCAAAAAAGGAAGACTACGATCCTCTAACCGGATGTTTGAAGTGGCTAAACGAGTTTATAGAATATCACAACAAGGAGCTTCACGAAGAACTCATCAGACTCCAGAAACTATACCCTCATGTTACAATCCTATACGCTGATTACTACAATGCCTTGTTACATATTTTCCAAGAACCGGCCAAATTCGGTTATACCCCAAACTCTATTGAACCTTACTTTGGCTGACTAACTAACTAACTAACTAAACTAAGTTCTCAAAACGAATCTTTGTTGTGAACCAGGGTTCACGAACGGACATCCCTTGTCAGCATGCTGTGGATCAGGAGGAATGTACAACTTCAACAGTATTAGTGAGTGTGGGAGTAGGAAAGTGGATAGTTGTAGTGATCCTTCAAAGTACGTGCATTGGGATGGTTTTCATTTGACCGAGTCTGCATACCGATGGGTCGCCATGGGAATACTCCAAGGTCCTTACACCATTCCTGCTTACGACTGGTCTTGCCCCGGTTTTGAAATCAAGAACGGATCAGCAAATAATAAACAGTATTCTTTTAGCAGTAGCCAGTAGGTGACTAGAGCTGTTCTCAAAACCTTCTTTAAGAGAAAAGACTCAAAGTGTGTTGCATAGCTATCATATCTCGTAACGGGCCACAGGCCCATATTATGTTTACAACGCCGTCGGGTTTGTTGGACGGTTTTCCAATATATACTCCGGTTTACTGATTTAATCGATGAGTAAGACAAAATAATCGAATAAAATCACCGGTTGACAATTAAATCGGGTTACATTATAAATAGTCTCTCCTTCAAAGACTCGTCTCCTTGTATCAGATTTCGAATCTTCTGCTCTCCTCCACGACGACGAGGAGCTCCTTCAACAATCCTCAGTCTATACTCTTTAATTGCATCTCATGAAGAAAAAATCCGATCCTTTCTCCTTGTAAAACCCTAATCTATCGTTTCCTGAAGTCGTGAGCTGAGTTTTGTTAATTCGAAACCTAAAACCTTAATTCGTCTGGGCATTCCAGAGACCCATCAAATTCTCTTTTCACTGTAATCGTCTTCGTCTCCTATCAATTCGATCTCTGTCTCTGCTTAACCCAGTGAGTTTATTTTCTTTTATATAACCAAAACTTAACTCTTTGCAGCATCAATGGTCTCACTCTGTGTCTCTCCTTTGCTTTTCTAATCCAGCTCTTTCACTACGCGTTTTATTTGAGTTATTATACACTCCTGCTTTGAATTGGCGTGTTTATCATAGGTTTAATTAGTATAGTGGTGACATTTGCATTGTGAAGTATGCTAATGGTTGTTGATGAGCTTGAATCCTAGTTTGTGAGAATGAATTGTCATTCATATCTTGACTTGTCATTTCCTTGATCTATTCTCATGTGAACTGTTAAGAACACTCTTGTAAATTCATGCTTTGTGATACATATCTCTTCTTTCTAGGAAACCTATTGACTTTTCTTCTGTTGTGTTTGTTTGGTACTTTTATTATCAGACTGTACATTTGGTGGTAACAGAGAGAGAGAGAGAGATAGTCAAGAAGAACAGAGCAGAAATGGAGAGCGATAGTGAGAGCGAGAACGAGAGAAATGAACAATGCCCGACCACTTCATTAGTACCCAGAGGAGGCCCCATTTATCTGCCAAACATGGTGGGAAATATTTATACCATCCCTGAGTTCCGGTCTTCTTTTCTCAGTCTATTCCAGGATTTGGATACTCATTTATCTCTGGAATCTCCCTCATCGTCGCAGCAGTATGATGTCTCGTAAGTATCCCTTCATCAATTGGCTTTTTTCTTTTTGAAAACTGAGTTTCATTAGAAACAATACATAAAGATATGTAACAGGGAGGATTTTGATGCAGAACTGATGATCTCAAGATTTATACAGATGAGGAACTCACCGAGATGGCTATGAAGGAAGCCTTCTCGGTATGTTTCCAAATCCTTTATTGATTTTGTATTCTTATTTTGCTGTCTTTTGAGTGTGAGTACTTAAGTCTTGATGAGGTTGGTTCTTGTTTCGTTCCAGGAAGATAACCTTTCCCAAAAGGAGCTCGAACAATCTTTAAACGCTTCTCATCAGTAAGTATCATTTCCAGACTATCTGTTTTTTTAAATATAATGCTCTGTCTTGTGGGACTCCTTGTAAAAAAAACAATTGGCATGTAGCTTTCTATTAGTGTGCTTCGAGAGAAAAATTTAGGTAACAATGGTAGGATAACAAACAGTTACATCTTTTGTCTCCTACAGTGAAAATCCATCAGCTGGGGCAAAAAGGAAGAAGACTGTAAAGAAGTCTCAGGTAAGGAAGAGGACAGAAAAAAAGACTGAGGTGAGTTTATGTAAAATGGTCTTGGCATGGCCGGAAATTAATTTCTTTTCATATTTATATGTGCTTAGTATTACTGGATACCAAATGTACATGGATTTTACTAGTGTACTGGCTTGGTTCAACAAGGAATGATGGTTGGAGTAGTCAAGGTTATTGGCTTATAGCATTTCCTTTTCTGATTGATATGGTCATATTTTTGGTTTCAGGAAGCTTATCTTGCCAAAGTCGAGCAGCTTGCAAAAATCAAACAAAAGCAAGAGGAGGATAAGGCAGCTGTTAGGCTGCACTGCTTCAGGTCTGTGATTACTTTTGGATAGTCTGGTTTTCTGATGAACTTGTCTGCTTTATGCTTATGTTTCTTCGGTTCTAACTTTTGCTCAGAAAAACTTGTGAAACTGGTAAAGACGCAGCTGCACCTCCAGACGGTTATGAGCAGATGCAATCTCTTAAGTTCATCGATAACAATTACATGGCAAGTTATTTTCCCCTGCAATTTTGTTTAGTATTGACTATGCTACTCCAAACATTTTCTTAACCCTTCATGCCCCCTGCTAAATATTGTCTTCGTTCTATGTAAACAGCAAGTGAAGCCATCAGACATTCAGGGACAAGTGGATACGCTATTTCCTGAAGTCATTTTGTGTGTTGAGATTTATAACAGTCGTAAGGTTAAGGTACTGCTTTATTCTGTAAAACCTTTGATGCACTCTGCATATTTTTTTTTTGAGAAATCGAAGTCTTGTTCCTTTCAATACATAAAAGTAGACATAAGAGGCATACCATTAGCCGGATTGTGCTAACTACTACAATTTTTGAATAATCTTTTGTTCAGACCCAAGAAATTTTGGTTCTAGGACGTCAAAAGTTGACTGAATTGAAAGACAAGATTCATTGCCTTACAGACCAGGTGATGAAAATGGCTGGAGAGTATAATCCCTCTGGATACTTCCTCATAGAAGTAAGAATTCATCTGTTCATTTTCTTATCTTTTGATGACTTAAGTAAGTTTAGTTTCTTCTTCTCTGATTTAATCAGTTGCTTTTTGTTTGTCTAGGATGTCTTTCACAATGATTTAAGGAATCTATCGGGGACAGATTTCAGCTATCCTATTTTAGATTGGATATGGAACTCGAAAGATGAAGCTCTTAAAAAATGGGAATGCCTTTTAACCGGCAAATTACAGAAATATCAGAAAGCAGTTCTAGGTGAAGGGAAATCCATGGATTTACCTCGTTTCAGAACTGCAGACATGCATAGTACACGCTTCTGTGACTTAAGATTCAGAGTCGGAGCTAGTTATCTCTATTGTCATCAGGTAAAATCCCTTTTCTGTTGCTTTACTTCTCATCCTATGATAACGTTATGCAAAGCACAAGATATTTTTACTGATTAAACTGAGAACAGGGAGATTGCAAGCACATGATAATAATACGAGACATGAGGCTGAGTCATCCAGAGGATGTTCAGAACAGAACGGCTTACCCGATCGTGTTTCGACCTAAGCCCAAGTTTCAGAAATGCGGCGTTTGCAAAATTAAAAGAGCTTCAAAGGTTGCAGTGGATAACAAGTGGGCACTAGAGAATCCTTGTTATTTCTGTGATGTTTGTCTTGCACTTCTACACTCAGAGGAAGGCTCTCTTAGCTGTGACTTCCCTGTATATGATTATGTTCATGAGTGAAATACAATTTTGTTGCATAATCCTTCAATAGAATGATAGTTGTAGCTGCAAATTGAAGATATGATGAGTCTTGTCGTTTGAGTGGTAGGGGGAAAAGAAACAGAACCGAAACAAAACTGAAGTGAAATATAACTTGAAATCCGAATTTATAAACTACCAAACCCGAATTAACTGACTAGTATGTGTAAACAGAGATTCTCAAACAGAAACGTGTATGTTTAGCCTTCGTCAAAAACTCTCTTCATTTTAAAGCGGTAGTAATTTAGAAATGTTTATGTTTAGCCAAATTCATAGAAAAAAAAAAAGTAGAGGAGATTCCTTAAATTTCTGTTTCGTCTCGCTGTCTTCCCAAATTCAAAACTCAAATATTGGTTCTCTCCAATTTAGAAAACGTTAAAAACAAGAGAAAATAAAACTAAATTTTTAGAACCAAAAAGAAAATAAGAAGACACATTTTGGGATTTCTCATCGTCATCCCAAGTTCTTGGAACAACAAAATACTTTTTCTAATCGTCTCAATTTAGAACAACCTTATAAAGGCAAAGAGGTTAAACTTCAGATTAAAAGATGGGAGCATATAGAGCAGAGGATGATTACGATTACCTCTTCAAGGTGGTTTTAACCGGAGATTCTGGCGTTGGTAAATCTAATTTGTTATCTCGTTTCACCAGAAATGACTTCAGCCACGACTCACGTGCGACCATCGGTGTCGAATTCGCCACACGTAGCATCCAATGCGACGATAAGATTGTCAAGGCTCAAATCTGGGATACTGCTGGCCAAGAAAGGTATCCATCTACTCTAACATTACTCTATAATTTGATGTTTTACGTCTGCATGATGACCAGATCAATTTCAAATTAGGTACCGAGCAATCACGAGCGCCTACTACCGAGGAGCCGTTGGTGCATTGCTTGTTTACGACGTGACTCGTCATGTGACATTTGAGAACGTCGAGAGATGGCTAAAGGAGCTAAGGGACCACACGGATGCAAACATTGTGATCATGCTTGTTGGTAACAAAGCTGATCTTCGTCACCTTCGAGCCATCTCAACCGAAGAAGCGAAGGCCTTTGCTGAGAGAGAGAATACCTTTTTCATGGAGACTTCTGCACTTGAAGCTGTGAATGTTGATAATGCTTTCACCGAAGTTCTCACTCAGATTTACAGAGTCGTTAGCAAGAAGGCTCTTGAAGCTGGAGATGATCCAACCACTGCTTTGCCGAAAGGACAGACGATTAATGTCGGAAGCCGAGATGATATCTCAGCCGTTAAAAAGCCTGGTTGCTGCTCTGCATAGACATACTTACTTCTCTCTCTCTTTTTCTTTCTTGTATTATTATCATTCAAAACCAACATTTTTATTAATTTCCTGCAAATTTGTATACATTCTTGGAATTATCAGACAAACAAAGCTCACACTAAAGTTTTTCTATCTGTTTTGTTTTTACTCTACAATCTCTTGCTTTCTGCTCTCTCGGTCTCTCCTTCTAACGATCGATGTTCTTAGTAATGTACATGAAGACGTGCCATTGTAGATGATGACCCATCTCGCGTCTCGCCCTTCTTACCACGACCTATAATAGAGGTTAAAACAGCCACATCAGTTTACTGGAGTTGAGTGTGCAAGTCTAAAAATTGTGCTTCGAAGCGTTTACTTCAATTGCTGTGGTAATGACAAAACCTAAAGACGTAAAAGAAGAAGAAAAATTGCAGATCTTGAGTGTACCACAAACTCAGTATTTATCCAAAATACTTAGAACTTGTGAATGGAGCTTCCATTTTCTATAATCTCAGGCTAATTATTGTACTGAAACCAATAGCAAAAACCTAATCCATGAGTTAAGACGAACTAACTAACAACTTAACAAGAGAAGAACACATAGGTATGAATTCTAAAAATGTGAGTAGCAAAAGAATCTTGAGCTCAAAATACTTAATTCTGAGCTTAATCATCTATAAAATTCAATTACTTTGAATCAAGATCGTGTAGTTAAAGCATATATATAAGATCTATGAGCTATAACAGTTCTAGAATATACATGGCGTTACACTACAATTCAGGTTAGTCTGAGATAATTTCAAACCTTAAGAATCGAGATAATACTCAGTTGAAGAAGATTGAATCTCACCAGGAAAACGCAGACACAGAATCATTTCTCGTCGTTGCTTGGAGAAGGAGGTTGCTTAGAACTCGATTGGAGAGAAGGTAGAGGATTAGAACCCTTGATGATCCAACCGAGTCCGAAGAAGACTCCTCCGGCGAGAATCGCAGTTCCCCAAGCGTGAGAGTACCATTTGCTATACTGCCTAATCGCGAACTTCCACTGCTCCCTCAGCGTCGCCTGATCCGGATTAAACGACTCCGGAGGATTATAATACGACATCCTTTTACCAGAACCCGAACCGATCTCCGGCGTCGTTTTCTTCGCCGCCGACGATGAGGTATTGTTGTTATCAGGGATTTGGCTCTTCTCCTCCGCCATTGCCGTCGTTTTAGATTCTTTGCTTCTTCAGATGTTAAAATGCTTTATTAAACTCTATCGCCACTGACACGCGTCGAATAAGATCACGTGGCACTTTCTCGTTTCAAAACGGTAACGTTTTATTGTTTCGTCGTCCTCAAACCCCCTTAGGGTTTTAGGGACTCTCTGAGATTTTATCTTGTTCGTCAATGGCTTCTACTGCTTCTTCTTCTCTTCTATTTCCCTCCAGAAATTTCAAATCTGTTCCATTAATTCCACTCCGTAGAAGAAGCTTCGTGTCTTTTATCCGTTTTTCTAAGAATCCTTCTGCGGAGGAGGACATTCTCCGTTTCGTGGCGGAATCCGATGGGATGGCGCTTCCATGTGTACGGACTTACGAGAACAATTCAGCTCGGCTCAGCCTTGTTGGAACGGTAGCTTTTGATCAGGCTTTAACTGCGGCTGCTGCTGACGGTGGTGAAGCCGCTGATGATCATCTCCGTGAAAATGTTCCTGTCATGGTCGTCGAGACTGTTTTCCCTGGAGGTTCTGACCCTAAGGCTACTGTATCAACCAGATTGGTGAGATTTTCAGCTCAGCTTTCACTCTTTTTTTAAGAATCGGTATTCTAATTTGAAATTTTGGGTGCTTTTGGCTCACATTGATTCTACATTTGAGTTTTGACATGTGAAGGTAACATTCTTTGTTTTGAACAGTTCTTGCCTACTAAGAAAGTTAAAGAGCGAGCTAAAAAGCTGCGGCGGTCTCTTTCCGAGGATCTTTCTAGTGGAGATTTGTCAAAGAACATACTTGCCATGACTTTTAGGCAAGTTGTTTTGAGACAGCTGTGGAACTTTCAGCTGGTGTTATTTGGACCTGGAGCTGAAAGAGAAATGGGAGATTTCGAAAACCCTCGAGAGGTTAACTCTGCTTTGATGTGATGTTTCTAGTGATACTGGCCCTGCAAGTGGAAATTGATACTGATAGGTTCAGTTGTCTTATTCATTTCGTATCAGCAGGTTTCTACATCATTCACCCTTAGCTCTACCGATGAACGGGTTATATCTGTCATTGCAGAGGTTTTATGCATCTCCGCTCTTCAAAGCACTGAGAAGCATTTCCTTGATGATTATCTGGGAAAAGCTAAGTTTCCCTTTTTCAAGTGGTTCTCTAAACACAAGAGGATTGCTTCAAGAGATTCCTCAGTTGTCCTGCATAAAGTATTTGATGATGAGCAGAACACCAACCACTTGCTTGAATATTACCAGTCAAGGGAGGAAAAATTCAAACTTGCAGACACTAGACAAAGAAGTCGGTGGTGGAACATGTCTGCCAATTCGAAGTTGGAAAAATTTGGTGGCCCTGGATTTAGTACTTGGGCAAGTGAGTATTTACCTGCATATCGACTAGAAATTGATACTACAATACTTGCAGACCTAAAGCTTGAGGGATGGAGAAAGTCCAGCGAGAATAAGTGGGAGGTTCTTCTAACACACTCCCAAATGGTATACGATGTTTCTCTTTCTTTATGTAGTCAACCCATCTAGGCTTTTGTTCTTGATGCTTTGTTTAGGACTGGACATGGTAGTGTAGCTCCCCCTATATATAATTTGTCTAGCAAGCATCTCCCTTAGTATGACAAAACATTCTACATTTCTAGGTTGTCATTATCCTTTCGTCTTAGTTGTTCTTAGCTATATAAAATAATATGGAGCCATGTTATACTGGTCTGTTAAGTATAAGTAAAGATTTCGGATATTGTTCAAAAATGGTGGATTTAGACAGTGTAGAATCCATCGCAAGTGTAGTTATCTTTTTTTCTATACACACAGCAAGGAGATGCTGATAGATTGTGTGGCATTCAAAGTTAGCAGGATGAAAGATATTGTCAATCCTGGTATCTGGTGCAGTATTTCTTGTACTGCTGCATTTGACGTGCTCTATGGTGACTAAATTGTTTGTTTCCTCACACAGCTTTTTCATGAACCCCCCTACATTCCTGACACTTGTATAAAACTCTTTAGGTTGGATTGGCTGAAGCATTGGATATTTACTTTGAAGATATATACTCACTGCCCAAAAAACAGCTACCATGTGACGTTTCTGGAAATTATGCAAACTTACCCAATGAAAAGGTAACCAATCTATTGGCTATGAAACTTTGGTGTCTGATAATGTGCATCTAATCAAAGCCAATTAACAGTCCTTAAATCACGTCTGTAATTAATTGGTATTCTCCATGATAATCGCTTGGTCTATTTTATCCGTGTGCTTCATTTCCGTTACCTGCTGAACTATGTTTTCAGACTGCTCAATAAATTCATGTTAACTACTAGCGTTTGTTGTATTATGTTGGAGAACTGTTGGGATGTAAAAAGATTGGCTTAATGTTGATAGCTTTTCCTGTGAAACTTCTGTTAACTTCTTTTGGTTTGCTTAATCTCTATTGACAGAGAGGACTATCTTTGTTGAAAATCATATCTGTCACTATGGCCAGTGGAATTCTTCTTCTTGCTGTGAGTGCTGCGGCTCAATTCTGTTTTCCTCAGAAAAGCGAGAGAAAGTATCCTGGAAGAAGCCAAGATATCTTATGGTCAGAGAATGAATTGCTATCTCATCAATCTTCAGATTCCTCTAAGGTATGTTTACGGAAACGTTTGTTCATATAGATGTGTAGGCCAGCAAAATCACATAGACATTAATAGCTTTTGAGGACAGCTCTAATTCATTTGATTATAGTACTGGTTAGCCATTTACAACAAAAAAAATCTTTTGACATTAAAAAGTCAACCATCCAAATAATGTACAGCAATGACAATGCAACGTTTATAATTTCTGTGGGAGAATGAACTCTCGATACTGAGATCAATGGTAACCATGAATTATTGTTATCCTTTGGTATCCATTTTTTATGGTGTTTTTTCATTGTTTTGAAAAACTAAATTTTGAAACTTCAAATGAGTAGTTGGATTCATTCTGCGGATTACTCGTCAACAAGCTAAAGGATGCTTACTGCTGGGTAGGGGAGATAACCCTAGAAAGCAGCATAGGTGCCTGGATTGGGGAAGTACCTGATTATTTGAAAGAAACCAGCAGAGCTAAGTCTGTTGACGATCCCATCGTTTCAAGCTCTTCTCTTCTGGAAAAACTCAATGAAGATGCAAAAGCATCTGCACAAGATATCGCTACTTACCAGGTAATTCCAGTGAAATGTGATGAGTGTAATTCTTTTACTTTGACTACTACTTCATTTTTGTTGATCTCTTTGTCTGGTTCGTTAATGGAAGTAGGTAGTGCTATCACCTGAAGGTAAAATTATAGGGTTCCAACCGACAAGCCGTGTTGCCGTGAACCACTGGGCTGCTAATCCTTTAGCCAGAGAACTTTATGAAGGGAAAAAATTATCGCCTGGTAACTCCATGATTCTTCTTTCGATTCCTTACTTTCAGGCCATTCTTATCCTTCTAAGTTTATTAGATTATGACGATGATATGTTCATTCTCTGTTGCAGGGCTGATTGAGCCTGGTCTAAAGAGCCGCCCTCCAACAAAGGTAGTTGTGTTGGAATTGTTAATGTCTGTAAATTCAGATCGTCCTTTTGCATTGGTTAGACCATTATTGCCACAATAACCAAAGCCAAGTTCCTGTCTCTTTAGATGAAATTTTACAAAACCTGTAGTTATGATTTATTGCTTATATGAAATACAAATGCCTTAGCTTATTATTCCCGGTTAAGATCAGTGAGAACGTGATAACATGATCCTTGAAAAGATGCTGAAGATTTTGAGCTCTTTGGACTAAAACTCAACAAAACCCAAACTAGAACATAAACTAGGAGCAAGATTGGTGATCTCATTGAACAAAAGGTCCTGATTGTATTAAGAACAATAACGATAATCAAACCGTTTCCACCATCGGTTACATAATTTGTCATCTGCATTATATCACAGAAGAAAGTCGAAAATGCATCAAAATATATAAACCGGAATGTTGGTAAATATGCCTTCACTTCCGCAGACTGAATATTAAAAAGCAGTCTCCTCACATTTACTTCTCCTGTTTTTGGTTAGAACAATGTTCTCAAGCTCCAGGACAGTCTTCTGCATCCCCTTCTTGTTATATATATACATAATCTCCATGGATAGAGAGAATTATAATATAAAGAAACAAATTATACTGAGTCATGAAAATCCATTACTTTGCCCTACGAGATGTAGATAGCTTCTTCTGCTGCTGCCTAATTAAATGGTAAGCAACAGCTTTTCAAACCTGATTTTTTTTTTTCATTTTCTCAGGCGATATAATAGTCGCTTAGATTTCCGACAAGATAGTTAAACTCTTCACCTACTCCATAGTCAGTGGCCTGCTCTACTGTGTTCTGAACATTCACGGTGGCAGCTTTAGTGTTCACTTTTGGTCTTCCTTTGATGCAGCGTTTGTTGTTGTTGGCGGTGGTTGTCATGTTGTTGTTTTCTGGAGGGAACTCAGCAGTGAGTCTTCCCATCTGCTTCTGCAAATCTGCCACGGAGTCGTTTGAAACTTTGCCTTTTGAATTCTTCTTCCCATCAACGAGCTTGAGCTCGAGCCTGTACAAGGCACAAGCATCACACTTGTTGATCTCGTATTCGTAAAGGTGCCATTCAAAATGGTGCAGAGGCTGTGGATCCATGTAGTAAGATCTCTTCAGCCCTCCAAACTCGACCATGATCTGCTTACGTGACTCATGCCAACCGCGACCATTGTAATCTGGTAAAGATCTTTGCTTTCTGTTCCCACTCTCAAAAGCCCTCCTTGGTTTGTCAAAGAATAGCCACTCCCTTAGTGTCTCACTCTCTAGAACCGTGAGATCAAAGAGCTCTACAGTCACAACAGAAAGTCAAGATTTGAGTATGACCAGCACAAGACTGGTGATTAATTAAATATATATGTGAATTCCAGGAGAGCAAAGCCTACCTGGAGCATTCCATGGAGATTTAGCAGTTGCAGCTCCTTCACATTCAGGAATACCGACATCTTTCCCTCCAGCTTTTGCGCTAAGGGCAGCAAAAAGAAGACCATCTTTTAAACCGATTCCTCCGGGACGCACAACAGGATTCATACCTGGTGGCCCTTCATTAAAAGCCAGTGCAGCGTGGAAGCTGCTGCAGTAATCCTGGAACCAGTCGAATCCTTGAGCTGGCCTAGGGCAATCCCAAAGAGCACATTTTGGACCCAAGAATGCAGAAGGTGGGGGACAGATAGTCGGCATAAAAGTAGAGATATGTAGAGGACCCTCTACAGCGTAACTGGGACAATCATTGAAACCACCATTGAAGTTTGGTTGAAATTCTTGTTGCAGATCAAACTGATTATATTCCAGATTTGCAGTACCATCAAAGTTGGTGTTGCCAACTACTAAAGATGGATCTTTGCAATGATTAGCCAATGGAAACCCGTGTTCGGACTTCCCCTGAACAATATTGTATCCCTGTCAAGATATACCATGGACTCTGTATTAAAAACACAATAATGGACTCCACGCACAACAAAACCACCATAAAGAAATTGGATGTAAAGAACAACTGACCCTTTGGAAGGCAGCAGCTTTTCCAGCTTCAAGATTCTGATCAGCAGGCTCGGGCTTGGGCGCAGCTAATTTGCTGGTAGCATCATCTTCCTCATCACAGAGCTGCAGCAGCCGACAAATGTCTGATGAGAAAGACCCCAAAGTACCACCCTGCTTAAGCAAAACAAAAAGACACAAACAAACAATGACTAAAACAATAAGGAAAAAAGAGGTTTCACAAAAACCAACCATGCAAAGAGTGTCACACACACACAACAAATTAACAAGCTAGCAATTGTGAAACCGTACCTGCTGCAAGGATGAAGCAGGAGAAGGTTCGTTGAGCTCAGATTTCCACTCACGAAGCATCTGATTCACTTGCTCCTCAAGGAGAGTGACATCAGTACCCCTGCTCTCTTTCCTAGCGGACTGAAGATCCAAAAGCATCCCTTGCAAATCATCAACACGGTTCTTAGCCTTATCCTTGAACAGCTTGTGAGAAGCAGATCTGCAATTAGTCTTAGATCGCTTCCCCGTCATAAGATTCTCCACTCCCCTCAACCAAAAAAAAAACCTTCCTTTACACTTTATAGATTCTGTATATATAAAAAACAAAAACATTTCAATATCACTTGTGTGTCCTATAGCAAGAAAACCCAAAACCTAAACAAACATGATCAATCACTCTTACAAACAAACAACACATGCTTAAATTTGACATAAACAAAACCCAAAATTTACATTTTAAAGAGATGAAACACCAAAAGCCCTAAGTAGAGCTTAATAAGGATCACAAAGAATCTTCAGGGGTTAATACAAGAGAACTAAAACAAGGAAACAGCACAAAACACGAAATCAATCATGCACAGAGGAGTTTAAGGAGCAGATCGAAGTAGACAGAAGAAGAACAAGTCGATCAATTCAGGAGCAAAGAGAGGAACCCAGAAAAATATAAAATAAAAACCATACCTTAGTAAGACTACTGTAGCTGGAGCAGAGGAAGAACAAAGGAAGAGGAATTAGAGAGAAACGTTGATTGGATTCTCTTCTTCTTCTATCTCTCTCTCTCACACCCTCCCACTTTTCTTTTTCCCTTTTTATCAGCCTACAAAATTCCACCCCCAAATAATTTTATAATTATTAATTATTAAAAGAAAATGTATACACTTGGTAAAAATGATATATATATATATATATCAATTTGCACAGTATATATGCTATTTATTTCCTAATTTTCTATATCAATTTTTTTGGTAAAGTTAGAAAAAAATGATTTCTTATTTTGGAAAAAATATGTCAGTTGTATATATACTTGGAAAACATTTTTTGAAAAATATGTTGTGGATTCTTTTCTTTTCTAGTTTATATTGATCATGTTTTCTCTTTAATGTCACGCATGTATATTAGGAAAATTATAAGATATATTTTTTAATAAAGCAATTTTAAAAATATCTTTTTTTGTTATTTTGTTTTCTAAAAAAAAAAACTTAAGAGTTTGAAAAATTAGTGGTTATTTATGCACACTTGACTTAGAAAATTTGGGATTTGTCTTTAACTCTATCAGCTCCAAACACTTGTTCTTTTTATAAAAAAAAAATTTCTTACAATTTTGATTACTATTATTTGATGAAACTTTTAATACTCTCTATTGAGTTAGGATAATAGTGTGGCAAACAAATTAATAGTGTGACAAACAAAAATTAACTAAAAAAGAGTGTAAGATATCAAATTGATGGATCGTGGAAGGCTTTAAAACTCATGTTAGGGGATGTAGATCGTTTCCAAGTAGAGAACATTAGAAATCTAAGGCGTTGTTGGCCAGTAAAGTTACAATTTCGTAATACTGGATGACCATCGAGTTCAATCCAAGTTCATGTGTGTATAGACTTGTGGTCGTAGAGGGTAAAAATCTACATAGACTTTATATATGATAGTTATATAATCACACGAAAACGACTTTTTGATTTAACAGCTAAATATAGTGACTGTTTTATGAGGGATTTATATATGTGGCTAAGCTAAAGTCTACTACTACTACATGTCGTATCTCTAGTCTACCATGTGTTTTAAACCCGAATTGAATGTTGAAAAATGTAACGTACAATCATGTAAAACGTCAATTCGATAGATATATAACCGTAGCTTTTATTTGCGTTTTAATATGACAACTGGTCATTTCTTAACCGGTAATTGTAGTAAGTAGGACGACGTAAGATGAAATTATATATTTGTCTTCATCACACATGCATGCATCTGCAAAAATGCAATATTTTTTCAGCGATGAATTGGCTACTTGATTTCATGTTTAACGACTCCTTGACACTATCGGACTACTACCTAATGAGTTGTTTTGCAAGTACTTTGCATTACTTTTGCTTTGAAGGAGAGAAAGAAAAACAAAACAAACAAAGGAATCTTGGGTAAAGAAAGAATCGCAAACCCACAAATTCAGACAAGTGTCGTGAATACTCACTCAATTCATTATATCATTTTCTTTTAGAGAAGAAGATCGAAGAGGTGTGAAAAGGTGGAGATAGAGGCAAATGGCAAGGAAGGAATAAATAATATAGCAAAGCTTTTTTCCACTATGTTTTTTTTTCCCCCAATATTATTCCAAATTTTGTGATGCTCATTAATTTTCATCCTACCACCCTTTTTTCTGCTTTTCAATTTCGTCAATGGTCATATATTCCATATCCTTCTTTATGTGTGTATTTGCTTGCTGCATGCTATTATATACATTCTCCTTTTCGAAATTTACAATTGTACTTGTCGTATGTATGAATGAACTCTAAAACCAATCTCAAATTCATCTTTGTTAACTAATAATATCTAGCTCCCTATATTTAATACAAATTATTTACTATTTTCAATTGACCTGTATTTGATATCCATATATGTATATATATCCAACATTTTCTTTTGAGAGTGGTAAAAAAAAAAAAAATGGTGTTCATTATAATAAATATATATGGGATGTTTGTAACGTCCACCTCAAATACAAAAGAAGGACACGAGTGGTTCCACTAGATTGATACTTGAACGTCGAACCCAATATTTTCGAAGGGTGGAAGTAGAACAAAGCATGTGCCCCCTTTCGAAAAATAGGGCTTCAAAAAAAACAAATGACGTTTATCAATATATGTCACAATCTCGCTGATAGATTATCCATGAAAGAGTAGCTTCAACATCAACATTTCCCTGATAGATAACATTAGCTAGAGCAATCAAACCATTCGAAAATTCCAAAATCTCGACTTATAAACGAGTTATTCTAACTGGATCATCTTACAACTCCTTGATGGAAACTAAATTTATAGTTAGATGGATAGAATTTTGTTGATAAACGAGTTTACTAAACTTATAAACGAGTTAGCTCATTTTAGTTACCCATGAATCCATTACTTTCCAAGTTATATACAATACAACCATATGTACATGACTTTCCATTAGCTCATCATAAGTCGCATGCGTTTTCTATAAAATGATTAAACATGTCTTGGGGTTTTTTTTTTTTATCCTTGTTATAAGAAAAAATCGAGATGCTTTTTTAAGGAATTCTATGCATTTGCCCAAATGATTTTTGCCACCTTTTTTATTCCCTTTTCTCTACCACCAAAAGAGATTCTCATTTCTTTTTTTTCTTTTTTTTTTTCATACGAGTAGTAGTAAGTTATTTATTAAAAATACACGAAACTTTACGTGTGGAACAATCATGACAACATATATACATTCTATAGGTTCCTTACGTTTCATCCTTTAAATTGGAAATCGTTTAGGAATAAAGACATTACTCTTTTTCCAGAAAACCCAATTACTAGTAATGTCGCTATGTATAGCTTTGACCTTGTTTGAATATATACACTACAGAGATAATGGATATATATAATATATGATGTAGAATTGAAGGTAGGTAGAATGAGAAAGGTCTCATTTTGTATCTCTCTGAAGGTCGCTTTCATAATGAATTCGTCATTATCCAAACATTGCTTAAATTTTAGCTATTGGTCTTAAAAGACCAAATCTAAGCAACGAATGTTGAAAAGACAAACGTATTGTACACCCAAATCCCTCAACATCAAAACTTTCTTATTTGTCACCTAATATGATTGTTGGAAAGCAGATTGTTCTTGATGATGGTGCATGTATGTATCTATTACGGTCGATCTATAAGAATGCAGAGCAGAGAATCATAAACTCCCCAGCTCTTCTGAAAAAGAATCATTGCCGTATTGTTAACTTTGGTTTCAGTCTCGGGGATTGATCAATATGATGATGATGATTCAAGTGGATTTTTCTGGCTTCCCGCTACCCGTAGTACTGGGCTGTGATTTTAACTGAAAAATTCCGCTCAGTCCGCGTGCTTTGGCAAGTTGTTCAAGCTCCTCTAGCTTGCTCTTGAGATCTGCGACTTGCTTTTCGAGTGCTTCATCTTTCAATCTTAACTCCTGTAAAACCACGAGATTCAAAGCATCTCAACCTAATCGATGACCTCAACATTGATATTTCTTTATAAAAAACACACACAAGTTTGCTCGGTCTCTTAACTAGTGCAAATCCTATTTTGTTTAGCTGTTACCGCAGATTTCAAGTCACTGTGAACAAACATTGAGCACGACTATTGATACTTGTTTTCAAAAATGGCACAACATGTAAATGTGTTTATAAAACTTCTTCAAATAAGACAGAAGTTGCAAAAGCTTTAAGAATTGAGAACCAATTCTACAGGCTGAAATGTTGAGGAAGTCTCGAGTTAGGCATCTGAAAACACTACCACCAATTCCTTAAATCATTTATCTATGCGAGTTGTATATTGAAAGTTCTTCCTGAGCTTGTCGATATATACTAATTTGATCCATGTAAATATGCAACCCACTCTCGATTAAAATACTTACTAACAGCATGTACCAACTATTAATCCTGAACCGCACATGGGAACTGAAGAAAAATTATCCTCCAGAAAAAGTTCATGTGTACCTCTAGTTCTTGTTTACGTGCTTCCTCTTTTCTTGCTTCTGACCGAGAACTTCTCTGCACCTCAAAAACAACAACGGCTCCACCAACCTGCTCATAACAATGTATTAGTTATACAGAACAACTGAGAATTGCATAGACGAATTACCCTCAAGCAAAACTGATTTTGACACCATCTCCCACTTAAACCAAACACCACCAACTGGACATATGGAAGAAACTAAGAAACACTTACTTAACTTATTAGCATAGGTCTGTACTATCAGATTAACAAGGGCAAGAAACTATAGATCCGATGGTACATTTCCCAAAAATTTAGTACTTTGTATAGAAAATACAAAAGTATTTATGTCCGAAGCCAAGTTGGATACTAACTACTGCACATACAACTAGAGATAGACGAATTAGCACTATTGTCTGATTGTATGGCATTAACAAGCAACTGATAGAGTAAAGCCAAAAATCATTTTTCATTCATTCCACGAAAAGAGTTCTATACTTCTATCACATAAGCTGTTTCGGTTTTTTCACAATAGTTTGTTTCTCTACACATCTTGACCAGGTAAAAGATTCAGCTTCAAGGCCACAATTATCCCTTTTTCACATGAGCTATCAGCAATCAATGAAAATGCTACTATCCATTGATGAGCTAAAAACGGATCAATGAAGGAAATTCCAAATTGAATGCTAATCTAAAACAACATAATTCATGCATAAAGAATGTTAAGTAAAGAGTGTTACCCCAAAGAGGAAGAGCTCTCCAATGAGGTCAACAGCAGCTTGGACAGCCTTTTCCTCGTCCAAGGGACGAATCTCTACATCAGTGGCATGACCATATATCCTTCTTTGCATTTGCGTCGTGATACGATGATTCCTCTGTTCACATTTTTCAATAACACATTAATTTCTAAGTTTACAAAACTAACGAATGTTTCAACTCTTCAACAATTATTAACCTAAACACGCCTTTTCCTAACAACAAATCCTATATTCCGGAAGTTCCAAAAACTCAGGAGAAATCATCAGAATCGAAACGCAAGACGAAACGATGTATTACAAAATCGAGAATCAAGAAACGAAACGATTTTAGAAAAGCGAGTTAGAATCAGAGGGATTCCAAATTACCTGAGCGAAGTTGATGATAGATTGACGAAACTTGGGATGAACCTTAGCTTGATGCTTGAGCTGACTAGCCAAGGGTTTACTTATGGTTTTGACCGCGAGTGTGCCCAGTTTCATCAATGGCAACACCATTTTTTTGTTTCCGAGAAAAAGCTTGGGAGAATCTCAGTTTACTCAAACAGAGGGAATGCGAAGGAACTGGAACTAATCTGGGTGAGCACAGAAGAATCACAAGAACAGAGAAATCGCCATTGGGATTAATCAAAGCTTTCTCGAACTTTGTAGATCCGATTTGAAGAAGAAGAAGAAGAAGAAGAAGCTGAGTCGTTTGTTTTTGTTTGGGTCGTCTTTTTACAACTTTAATTAATTTGTGAAATGGACCCCCTTTTTATTTTTCTTCTTTTGCAAGTTCGAGTTGTTTTAATTTAATTTATAAAGACCCCACATTTTGACTAGAATTAATCTAATTTTATACAAATCTAGCATTTTGACCTGACTCAATAGGAAAGATAGAGAAACAAAATCTTCTTCTTCTGGATGTTTTTGTTTTTTTTGGGCTAACTTGTTTCTGATCGGTTTTTTACCTCAATTTCTCATAGTTTGCAATAGTAATTAACTTTACTTGGTGAGTCAAAAGGTTGAAAGGGTTTTATGAGTCAGTCTTTGTTTTCATGTTTTGTGTGGACAAACTCAAGTTCCTCTTTTGTTTCCTAATGAAAGCTCTTCTTTGCGCAGATAGAATTTGAAGTTTTTTTGTTAAAAGAAAATAACTTAGAAGTTCGAACTACATGTGTTAATGAGAGATCACATAGACAGAGTTCAAAATTAGATGTGGGATCGGAGAATAGAAGGAAAAAAACAGACAACTTTATGTAAACATTCCTTTTGTTTCACCACAAACATAACAAAGTGTAACATTAAAATCTCATCTATAAGATTGTGCAGCTCGTTTTTTTTTTTTAGGTCAAGAAGACAAGAACGAATAGGATGATGAACAAGACGAGCAAGAAACATATCATCATCATTTGCCCTTTTGCTCCGGCTTTCTTCATTACCATTCCCACTTTTTTCTGTCACAAAACCCATTTTCATTCTTTCAGTTTCCACTTACTACTTCAATCAATACATATAGCAAACAAGACCTTTAGGGGTTACCTGAACAAACTCAAGCCGGTTCTTTGTACTGTCCATCTCCGTATCCAATTCATCTATTATTCTCTCCTGAAACACACAATAACAAAACCTTGAAGTTTCTGTTTCTGATCTCTACTGATATTTTACTGTTGTTAAATCCTTCTCATATTACTAACCTGTGCAATGAGTTCATCGTGTATAGTTAGCCCTACTCCTCCGATTCTCTGCACACTTTTACTGAGCTCATCCAATTCTTCGTCTTGTTGCCTGAAGTGGCAAAAACGATGTCAACTTATGGCACTAGTCTGTTTGAACAAAACTATGCAACAATCTTCTTCAGTCTAAATCATTGTAAACTCATAAGCAAAGAAAAGACTTCAAAACAATGTAGAAACAGTGAAAGAGCTATACTTTATCAACAGCATTTGCCTATCTGATTCTGACTGTACAAAACCATCATCATCTCTCCCTCCATACTGATCGTATTTATTTGCTTCATTCGAGTTTGGCATTCTCATTAGTTCTCTGCGCACTTCATTTGCATGACCAGCTCCAGAACTAACCTTTCCAGCTAAAACACCAGACTTCACATTCCGCACCTATAAAATGTACCATAGTCGTCTTGCACAAGTCAACAAACAAAAAACTTATGCTACTCTGTAAAGCAGTACTCATTACAAACTTATAGACATACATACCTGTGTCCTAGCATTACTAGTCCATCTCCTCCGTTTTTCAAGCTCAGCTTCATCAATGCCATACCATGAAGGATCTTTTGCTGCAACAGTAATCGCTTTTTCCAGCTCATCTACCTTCCTATCAGTAATGACAGCTTCAATATCCATGAAAAGACTCTATTTGAACAGCACACTTACTTATTTTATTTGGAATATTGATCATGTGGATGAACTCAGTATTGACATTACATTAGCAGAAGAACAAGGACCTATACATTCTACGAGATCAGCTAGTGTTCAGCTTCCATCATCCCATTAAGACAAAAAAACAGAATCCAAAGACACACACGAATTGGGATTAATAGGATAGTGACTAAATACGAGTACCTGCCACTCAATGCTTCCACAAGTATCAACAAGCTCCTTCGCAACATGCGCTTGGTCCCCCATGTCGGGAGAGATACGCTCCCATTTGTGGAATGCAGATTGCAACTTATCAATCTAACAAAGCATCCATGACCAAAACAAAACATCAACACCCTCCTTAAAATCTAACAAAAAACATCCCTAGCTATTCCGAACAACTTACGGAATCCTGGATCTCTTCTTTAACAATGTAGAACGGATCTTGCGCTGAAGACATCCTGACACAACTGTGCTACCCTATACACCAAATAACACAGCTGATTAAGCAATACAATCAAGTTCCTAGCCTAAAACTGAGTAACACAAACAGAAATTTGAAATCTCAACTTGTTAACAGGGACAGTCCTGGAGATGCGCAAATCCTACGATTGCAGAACTAGAATTCCTAAATCACAAATGATCAACTCGGTGAACCTATTAGATCCAGACAATTCCGATTAAATCCTGGCTAATCTAGGTTGAAACTTCCTATAGTAGGACGGTTTACAGATTTATCAATTTGTGTACTTTTAAGATCGACACAAACCTTAGGAAAAAATTGCGTTAAGATATGATAACGACGACAGGATCAATACTAAAGCAAAATTGCTATAAGAGGAAACTGGAAGAAGCTTCTCTTACCTAGAAAGGATAAATCGAAACACGACGCGAAGAAGATCAAGGAAGAAGAAGAAACGACGGTGAAGCAAAAGAAGTCCGGCGGTAAAACTCGTCTCTCCTACATAGCAAAACGCATCACCTGCGGTTGGCTTAGAGATTCGCTGGAGGAGGATCGCTCTGAAAGCTTCGTTTTGGGCTTGTTGGAGAAAGCCCAATAACTGACCCATAAGCCTTTCTTAATTTTTTATGAGAAACTAATTTTTTTTTTTGGGTGGAATTATGAAAAACTAATTATATTATTGAAGTTTTTGAGTTATATAAGAATCTTGTAAAAGTTATTTATCATTTTTTTTTTTGCAAAATTTACTTATGGTTTAGTGGCTTAGAAGTAAAAATGAGTAACTGTAAATTGTGTTAGCTATAAAGTCTTTAACAACTTAACATTCTTGTTTTGTTTGAACGTTTGTGTATATTTTATTTTTTTTTGTCGTGTATTTATCAGTGGACATATGCATGTGCGCACACACTCTAGCTTTAATGTTAAAACATCCATTTTAGGAATTGGTGGAACGATGCAATTGGAGCAGGCTTCTGAACCTGAAGAACTTAAATTAAAAGGTTATATAAATAAAGGGTTATGTGACTTTAATTAAAAAAGAAACGAGACAAAATATAATATAGGAGCTGGGCTTCTTCTTAATGAAGGAAGAAAAGAGAGAGCATGACGTGAGTTTAAGAAGAAATAACGTCAGGATTCCATTAAAAGAACCAACCAATAATGCTAAGTTGGTGGCTTGGTGCTGACATATACCGACTTTTTCCACCGTCCATCCTTCGAGTTTTCGACGAGCGGTTCTTTCTTGTGATCTTCTCATTTTAAATGCTCCACTACGTACGCACAAATATACCAAGTACAAATTAAATTTGACAGTTTTGTCAACCTTGTTTTATAATATTGTATATATTATGTAAAATAATTTGCATTAATGGTTTTAAAAAAAGAATGTTTCAACACGAGTAATTTTCCCCCATAATATAAATCACGATCATCATTATGATCATATATTACTTTCATCCATACACGGTCAATGCAAATTTTGATGAGATTCAGTGCATGCATTATTTATAACATGCATGCATGGTGGCATACATATAACATGTACTTTTTCCTATGTATTAGAATTATATTTTCACCTTTTCATCTAAATGTTACTTTACAATTGAATGATTAAACCTGAAAATGATTTTATATGTTGTGTGTTTTATCATCAGATTACTAAATTTGTTATATATATATATATATATAGTCCGTTGATTCAAAGAAGCATCCACTACGTTTAGTTAATGGTCGAGATCCAAAGAAGCATCCACATGCGAATATTTGTTTAAGTAATAAAATATAGTACAACTGTCTATCAAAGACAAAATATGTTTTTCTATATTATTATGTAACACAACACGTAGAAGAGGAACACACATATTTAAAACGTGCTGATTTCTATTAGAAGAATAAAGTGAGATCGAAAAAGTCAGCGTGAATCATGTGTTACGGAATACGATAAAAACACACACACACACACACGGTCCTATCACCTATACGTATGACTAAGTCCACTCTCATCCGGTGACGTCAAAACAGCATAACATATAGCTTCCTCTGACGCACATCCTTACGTAACAGTAGTTGACGCTAGACTTCGTGTCTCTTGGTCTCTCTTATTACTTCATCTACTTATTTATATACCAAAACCTTCCCATTTCTCTAACTGGTATATATCTATCTATTAAACTAAACACACACACTTGAAGAAGAGAAAAAATGCAAGGAACGATTTCGTGTATGAGAAACTATGACATGACCACGGTTGGGGAATCTCTACGGCCGTTAACGCTTCAAACGCAAGGAAACGGTGAGAGCGTTCGGACGGTGGTGGAGGAGAGCGCGGTGATTGTGATTGGACGGAGAGGTTGCTGTATGTGTCTCGTGGTGAAGAGGCTGCTTCTTGGACTTGGTGTGAACCCAGCGGTTCTTGAGATCGACGAGGAGAGGGAAGAGGAAGTGTTGAGTGAGCTAGAGAGGATTGGCGGCGGAGATACGGTGAAGTTGCCGGCGGTTTATGTAGGAGGGAGGTTGTTTGGAGGGTTAGATAGAGTTATGGCCACTCATATTTCCGGTGAGTTAGTTCCAATTCTTAAAGAGGTTGGGGCTCTCTGGTTGTAAATTGTAATCATTTTTTTTTCTTCTTCTTCTTAAATATAATTGGTGTTAATCGATTCGGCTTTATAATTGATTGGATTGTTTGAATTTGTTATATATGTTTATAAATAAATTGATTAAAAATCAAATATCAAAAATCTTAAGTCGAGACTCCCTAAAGAGTGTATAAAATGGTATTCATTCATTTGTATTGTTCATTGGCTCATTGTATTCTCCATTTTAGGCTTTTAAGTGGATTTGTTTATATAAAAGATTCTTAAAACAAACGTGAAATGAGTCAAGACTTTGTTTTATTTTTTGTGAAATTTTGTCAAAAGAAATAAAATTTTGGTGAAGCGGATGAATTAATTTACTAGTTAGATTAGATGATTTAGCACTAATATAAAAATTACTCTGTTCTTGTTGTTTGCAAAGAACATGTAGCACTAGAGAGTCATTATACGTTTCTACATTCATTATTTCATTCAATCAATTTGATGATAAACACTAAAACCAAACCAAATCAAAATGAACAAGTGATTGGTCTACCAGTTGGGAGGCCGAATCGTTCTTCAGAAGTGTTCAATAGCTGCCTGCTATTTTTGTAAACAGAGTTGCATAGGTAACTTACCAGAAAAGCAAAAAGTGTTTTATCTTCCGTGTAAACCACATAACATCGTAGCAATTGATTTTTCATATGAGATACTTTTTTATGATTGAGAGCTGCTCTCTGTTGCCATTTCTTGGTCATCATTTAAATGCGTCATTGTGTTCATATCATTTCAACAGGAAAAAGTTGTTTATTAGAAGACTACACAAAAAGACACAAATCCACCTAGACAGTCCAAACGCACAAAATATATAGTTTTATCTTTGTGTTATCACATCAACAGTCCCAAAAGGATCTCGTCATTAGGTAAACGACCACGGGGTGAACGCCTAGCTTAAGCGAGAACGTTTATTAGAACTCTGGTCTTCTTCTCCTCTTCGGAGAGTCATAGAAGGCTTCTCAGTATCTTTACCACTCCAAAACTTGCCCAGGAGAGTCAAGCATGTTGAAGTGATGACTCTTCTTATTATAGCTCTACGTTGAACATGCTCACCAATCTCAACAAGCCGTCGGGACTTGGCCAAGCCCTTAAACGTTATGTAGACATGTGCAATTTTGGCACTGAGTCTCTCATCTGGCGTCATCACATCTTCTTCCTTAGTTTCAATGGCCACTTCCACAATCTGCAAGTGGGAAATGACACTCGGCTTTGTCTGCAGGCACAAGAGTTTTGGTGTTAATAGTAATTATTAACAACAGTGCCACTCGTGGTATGTCACTGATAATGAAAAAAAGAAAGAACTACTTACATCTGCAACCTCTCTATCACTTGAACAAATCAAAAGTTCCAAATAAAGAGAAATCCAATCAGTGGCTTGCCACTCTGACTCCTTGAGCTGCAAAAGAAAGAAAGTCTTAATTAACTAAATTGATCACAGTCAGCAAAACGAAAAGAGAGGATGCATGCATGTGGTCTTAATAATCATATATATATATATATATATATATATGTAATTACCACGTAGAAGCGTCTAGTGTCATTCAAAGCATCATCAGACGGCCAATCAGGCAATGGACCATCGAAGACACCGTCGGCCACTGCGCCACCATGAAAGTGAGGCACGAAGGGCTTCTTGGCGGCTATGCAAACATTATTATGAATCAGCAAAGTGTGGTGAGACTTCATTTTATCTGTTTATATATTCGATTGACTTGTATAAAAACAAAACAGAACAATGTATAATGAACCACACAATTAGTCACCTTCTCTTTTAGGTCTGGCAATAGAGACGGTCAAATCCAAATAGCCAAATTTTGTCTCATCAACTCGAACTTGGAAGGTCTTGTGCGATGGGGTAGCTGCCGGATCGTTTGCAAGTAGAGTAATGTAGTAAGAAGAAGCATAGCTCATTGACTTGTTGAATTTCACTAGCTCAGCGAGCCCAATGCTTGTCCCCTGACAAAAGAAGATGAAGAGGGGAAAATTATATAACAGAGAGAGTATGTTGATTTATAAAAGAGATGAGACTATATATATATATTTACCTCTAACATATTGTAACGATGAAGCCCCAACAAAGCATAGCGCTTGACCAAAAGAGGATAAGGAATAAGATAACTATTTTTACAGTCGTACGGAACAAGTCCAGAGAGTAGTACGACTGGACATTCATAGCTATCATCGTCATCGAAGCCCTAAGACCCAACAGCAAAATAATCAGTTAGAAATAATCCCAAACAAAATTCAACAACCCTAGCTATCTAGGCTAGAAAGAAGAAACCCATCAACAAAATAATCAATTATAGCAGTCCTCAAACCAACAACAACAATTGATCGAATACAAGATATTAAGAGAACTGGACAAAAATCAGAATCATAGACAAATAAAAGTAAGGGTTATTACATCGGATTTGGCCATCATACGCCAGTATTCCCTCTCATGACGGTGATACTCCTCCATTGAAACAGAGTACTCCTCCTCATCCGCCGTCGCCATTCTCTTCCTCTCGTAATGTATTATTCTTAGGAACTAATCTTTCTCTTAATTTTTTCCAGTTTATAAGTTTTATATATACAGTCAAATATATATTTTTACTCTACCATGTATTTTTTTTCCCTTCCATTCTAAATCTTATTAACAGATAAATAAATATATATGATCATATTTACTATTATCGATAACATTTTCACAATATTTATTTAGGTTTAACATTTCATTTATTTAATTTAATTCGTTTTTATTTAATTTAATTTTCTATTAATTATGAGTTACATAAATATGCAATAAATAAACATTTTAAATATTTAAATATAACTTAATTTAAAAAAAAATATTGATGAGGTGAATGCTGATGTGGATAAGATAGATGGAGAGAGAACTCTCCTGTTATATATATAGATCTCATTTGATGGATTCTTTTATGGGCTTCAATTGGGCCTTGTCAATCCAAATCTCATTGATACGAATCCATTCATTTTATTCTGTTTGAGAGAATGGATTTGAATTAGAGCGATACCTGTTTCAACCTTTTATTTATCCATTAGCCAACGAAATTACGCTATACTACATACTCGAGTTTAATCCGCGCTACATCACGTCATCATTTTTTATAACTAAAATTTTTAAATTTGAAGTTGTGTTTTTTAGTTATTTTTGTTAATTTTTCTGGTGTATGAAATTGTATTTTGATTAGTAATTTTAGGATTTAAACCTGTAAAACAATTTACTTTTACACTAGGTTTGAACTCGTGGTACACCGCGAGTCTGTGTTTTTAATTCATATTTTATAGAAAATTTACTTTTATATGGTTAATTTTATCGCATACATAGTTATAATTAAGTAGTCGATGTTATGCATATTTGTTTTGTAAGGTGTTTTGTGTTCAAGTTCAAAATTGAATTTTTTTTTATTCATTTTTATGAATTATATATATATATGAACTAAGACAATTTACATCACTGTTATAAGTGTGTTATAAGAAAAGCAAATACATTTCTTAGCTTAAGAGCTCATCAATAATGGTGGTCTAAGTTCTTCGTGAAGTAAAAAAGAATCTCATGTTTCCAGTTCAATATATATCCCTTTATTTATTTTATGATTAGCTTAAATTATTACAGCATTTGAAACAAGAAGAGCTATTACAGTATTGTTTTGACATATTTTATTCAGAAATAGAGAAATTATATATATTTTTTAAAGATTAGTAAGGTGCATGTCTGGTGAGGTTAAAGTTACAACCTAAAAGCTAAAAAAGAAGAAGTTAAAACCTAAAATCTCCCAAAAGCTTTTGAGATAGCTAGGTTACTATATATGATAGTTACCCAACACCTACACAAAGAATCTGTGCTCTCCCCCATTCTTTTCCTCATGTTTACTCCATCTCCAGTATATATATATATATTATGCTCTATTGATTCTTCATGAAGCTTTCTTTACCCTTACTTGCATCACAAGTAAACCTAAGAAACGAACATGACCCATCACCTTCACGAACTACCAACTCTCTAATCACCTGTGACGTCTCTTCAGTACTTTTCCCTCCATGCTCATACCCAAATCCGGTCTGACTATTTTCATAGCTAAACCGGTTTAAGTTTACAAGATTCTTCGGTTTAGGTTCCGTCGGATTGCCGCATTGCCTAGGCTGTGTTTGGTAGAATACTTTAGACAGGACTGGTTCACCGTCTTTTTCGTCCTCACTTTTGCCTAAATGATACTGATGCATCACCCAATTAGTCTTCTCTGGTTTCTTCTGGCGACCGTAGTTGGTGTAGAGCACTAGGATTTTCTTGAAACCGGCTTCTCCTGATTGCGACAAAACTGGTCGGGTCTTGCCCGTTTTGTGCCACCGTGTCTCGTGGCCTTCCTCATCAGTACTCACTTTTCTACGTTTTCGTGTTCCGGTCGTATAAGCCTTTGATGGACGATGGAAGAAGTGCCGTACTTGCCCGTCTTTGCTTACTCCTACATGACGCAAGATAGACATGATAAGTCAAGCATTAAGCATGCATATGTTGATTTGATCAACAATGATATTGGATTTGATGATTTCATTTTTATAATCACTGTAATCTTAATCTCACACCATATTTGTAGAGATAATTAATTTGATCATTTTTTTTCTGGGTAATAACCAAACATTACCGTTTTTAATAAAATATTTATGTATGATAACTAGCTAGCACCAAAGAATTACATATCAAGCAATATCATTTTTTTAATTTAATTAAAAAAACTATAATATAAACGGGTAAACCCAAGATTAACTGTGTAAAATCCATATGCAAAACATGTGTTCGTTTTGGGGAAAAAAAAAAGTTTTTAAATGAAAAATTGCGACAGCCGAAATTGTTATTCTTGGATGAAAAAAAAAAGAGAGCGCACGTTACGTACCAGGAAGTTTCTCAGGATGTGTATAACAAATTCCATTTTCTCCTTCGAGCGTCGGTATAAATTCATCGATCAAAGGATGAAGTTTTCGCTTATCGGATGAGACCTTTGCCTCCAAATGCATAAGGATCTCTTTATCCGACGGGTCAAATTTCACTCCTGCCGGCAAGCTTGGTAAATCTTTGATGCTACCAACCTTTTCAAATTTCATTTCTTTCACAATTTATATATATGCATGTATGTGGAAATATAAAGTACACATATTGAAAACTAGAGAACATTTAGTGAATTATATAAGGGTTTAACATTGTAACCTGGTCGTCTTGGTGATGGATCTTTTGTCCACAAGAAGGACAAGTGACCATAACAGGAGATTCAACGATAATCTTCGAATCAGGACCGCTTGTGACACATGACTGAGATTGGTCTTTGAGCTGAGTCGATGGCTGATCTATGTTCGATACTCTTTCAAGATTTAGGTCGTAGTTATCATCTGAACCATCACACCAACTCATCCTCCTTCTTTTACTGACCTCTCTCTCTCTCTCTCTCGCTCTGTTCAGTGACCTAGCAAAAACTAAATCTATAGTTACAATCAGAACTATCAAAAGATCAAATCGACGGAGAGAGAGAGAGAAAGAGAGAGAGCCAAAGATGTGGAGGTGATATAGAAAGAGAGGCAAGTGAATATTAAGTTTTGGAACTAAAAAAATATAATTATAAATTAAAATGGTGTACTAAATTAATTATTTTAAGGAGGTTGCGTGGACGCCAAGTTAATTAATGGTGTATGTATATACGTTTGCAACAAATAATTGTTAAATCCCTTTTTTCCGAATTTTGATTATGACTATTTTGAACCATTTTTTCCTTTCTCTAGTTTTCACAGTTGAAATAATATTTGCATGTAATAGGTAGTAGATGTGCCATGTGTGTGATATACAGGTTAACCTTGGGATATAACCATAATTAGGAAAAAGAACCTTAATTATGCAAGAAAGATATGAAAACTAATTGAGGATATATAATTTATACATAAATAAAAGAGAGAAAGTAATCAGTCTCTTGAAAATCAAGAAAGGTGACGAGAGATGGAGTGTCGTTATTGAAACTCATTTTCTTTTTCCAAACTATTTTAATGTTTGCCAGTTTTAGTCATTTTATATTCACAAAGATATCATATATGCCATACCATAAATCTTGATTGATCCTTTAACAGATTTACAAAATCAAATAACAAGATCGTGTGAAAGAATAATGCGCAATTGCTAGATCTTCCCTGAAAACGTTAAACTATGCCATTCATTCGCAAAACATATATAATATAGATTAAAAGAGAAATTAAAATGTTAGATCCTACATCTGCACCTATCACTTTACTTATATACACATAATATATATGTTGGACCAACTTGGTGAAGCAATAAGACCATATCTTCACGCACAGAACAAAAATCTCGTGTGAAGCAAGTTACCTATACCCAAAAATTCTCAATTATATATTTTGCTCATTGACAATAGGTTCTTCACCAAAACTTATTACCTTATACGTATTTTTTTTCCGATGTTTACTTAATTAAGGTAGACCTAATATTGAATTTCTTAATTACTTTTTGTTATTTTCAGAAGATCAATCGATAAAAAAATGTTTACGAGGTTTACGAAGTCAAATAATTTTCTATAAATTAAAATGCTGTGGTAATTCTATTTATTTGGTATAAGCAGTCCGGGGTCCGTACAACATATGATCATCGATGGAGATGCGAAGCTTCTTCAACAAGAAACTAATAATATTCTCAGCCAAAAGAAAAGTAAATGCAAGACAACGAAACGGAACAGCTTACTGAGAAAGCTTTTAGAGATCTCATGATCGATCAGTTTTTTACATATTTCTTCTGTTTTAAATTTCACAATAGAGACTTCTCTTTGGTAACATAGCTATTTAGTATTACTATTTCTCGAAAAGTCAAAACTGGTGTCACCAAAGTTATGCCCTAGCATGTTAAAACTGCATTTCTTAATACATGTTTGTACTATAATTTTCTTTAGTAAGTCGTCAAACGTTTTCTCTTTGTTTTTCTCCTCTAGATTTTGGAAGAAACATAAGACGAAAGCAAATTCGGTATAAGTGGCAATATTGTTTTAATTCTTTGTATAGGCTTTTAAGAAACTTACGAAAACATGAGCGAGCTGGTTTACAAAATTTTACCCAAAAACGTTTGTATTAATCGTAACAATAGTGTCCGCAGCTCCCACATGCAAGTCCCGTTACAAAGTCCGAAGTTTTGTTCCAACCTCATTATCAAATGTGTCATATTCGTTACAAGTTGGAGAACTCAATCACAATAATCCGATATTGGTCCATAAAATTCATGCACTAATTGTTTAATATACACACAAAAATGTTATAATTTTAACGATTACTATGATCTGCACACATATATAATATAATATAATGATATAAATATAATAAAACATAAGAAAATTAGGTAGATAACATAAAACATGAATATTGTTGTATTTCATTTAGTAACTAACATTTTCTTTTAAATGCGTGCTCCCCAAAAATACATTTCCTCGTGAAGCTTATGAATACGAATCGTAAATTTTAAACTCTACTCTCAAAATAATGCACTAACACCGAATTTTAAAACAATTTTAGGGGTAAGAAACGAAAAGAACATTCAAAGAGGGGCAAAAAAAAAGAACTGTTCCGGTCAGTCGACATATGACCAAAACAGTGTAATGGGCCTTTTGACAAACAAGAGGAGTAAGTCGAAATGTAAGACTGATTCATAAAAATGTGGAAAACAATGTAGGGCCGATGATAGGCCCATCTAAAAAAACAAAAATGACCCAAAGGTGTGAGTGTGTACCGTGTGGTTGTGGGTCATAATAGCTCTCAATTACTCTCTCTCTCAATGTCATGTGTTTGTATAAATTATTAAATGAATGAATCTCATCATTTCGCAATCCATGACCCTCTCTTATCATCTATTCATTCAACTCCTCTTGTCCCCCTCTACTACTTACTAAGCTTTCCATTATAAATGATACCTTTTGTTTCTTCTAAATTATTTTCAACAAAGTACCATTAGCAAGAGTTCAAGACTATACCAAGAGTTACTATATAACTATAGAGAAGAGTGTGATGCTTGTTCTAGAAAAAAAAAAGACAAACTATCTTATGAAGAATCTCTCTCTCTGTTAAAACCACATCATGAAACAAGTTGAAAAAATAAGAAAAATAACAAAAAGGAAATATGCAAAACAAAAAGATGATGATGATTTTAATAAAAGAGAGTGAAAGAGACAGAGAGACAAAGGCAAAAGATGAGGTTGAGGTGTCAATGTCTCTTATTGAATTGAATGATAACATTGTGGGCTTTCAATGCTTTTTTTGGCCCACCTTTTTTAATTTAATTTCCCTCACCCAACAGCTCACATTTTTTGTTTAGTTTTCTTCTTTTTACCTCTTTCTGTGTATCTCTCTAATCTAAGTACATAATAAACCTTAAATCTAAGAAATTGTAACTTACTCAGATAATGCTTAGGTAATGGTTGTGGAGATGTCACTGTTCTTGTTTCCGACTCAAACAATATAAGAAGTTATCTTTCAGTTATTTTTTAATGTCATTATTAAGAGCTGACTAAATTGCAATTAACGGAATTTTTAAACATACCTAACTACTCACCTGTCGATTTAGATGACTTAACTACTTTTTTTTAAAATGTCATTGACTCTTTGTAAAAATAGTTCTCATACTCCACGAACTTTTGTTATATTTGTTTTTTCTTTTTTCTAAAGATATAAAAGAACATACGTTGTTATAACTTGTTTGTTATGTCATATATGTTTGTTATGTCATATATGTTTGTTATTAGAGATTAGACCAACCAGACTTGACTTCACACAAATATCCCAAGTAAAGAGATCTTTTTCGCAGGAAAAAAGTTGATATTAGTCATCTCATTGTGCCTTACGTACGGAGAGTAAGTAAAGGAAATAACACAACCTGAAATACACAATTTTGAAAGGAAAAAAACGAAAAGTTGAGAATGTTAAGAGAGCCATGTGAAGCTACAGTGACATGAACTGTGTGTACAACGAGAGAGAGCCTCCAAAGAGTTTTACACTAAAAACGAGAGAGAGAGCCCACGCTTTATACAGACACAAACATGTTCTTATAATAGCCTTGACTCTGTTTACCCCTTATTTGGCAACTATTTAAATGCATGTTAACGCCAGATTATCGCAACTTTTTTCATTTCCATTTTTACTCAGAGAAACAAGTAATAAGACACTTACAAGCTACAAGACCAGAAGAGTCACTGCTAATAGCTTTACAGTGGAGACAGACTGAGACACTGAATTAGAAACTCTTTTTAGATATATATATATAATACTTAAAACTCAACAGTCTCTGATTCAATTGCCCTAATTCACAGCTTCAAGCACCAAAAAATTGGGAGAGCTTCTTTTTTTTTTTTTTTGGCAAAAAACAGTTTTGAGGTTTCTTCGTGGTCTCCTCAAGCTACACTTCCCTGGTCTGAGGTTTCTTCGTGGTAATATGGTGTTAACTTCCCATCCTTATCGTCTCTTATCTTGTTTTGGCTTTCCTCGTCTCCACCTCCAATTTCTTGCAACATCTTAACCACACGCCTCATCGAGGGTCGGTTTATGGGTAAAGGACTTGTGCAGAGAAGCCCGACGTTGAGGATTTTGCTTATTTCTTCTTTGAAACAGGAGTCGAGTTTCGGGTCTATCACATGCTCTATGCCTTTCTGGTCTAGTGTCGTGCAAACCCATTTCACCAAGTCCTTCTCCCCCAGTTCTGGGTCAACTGGGCGTTTCCTTGTCACTATCTCTAAGATCACTACCCCGAAACTGTAGATGTCGCTCTTCTCGTTCACACGAAGTGTGTATGCGTATTCTGCAAGTAGAGTTTGAAATGAAAGTTATGGAGGGAAAACAAACAAACAAACAAAAAAAATTGAATTCCATTAATGGAGAAGTGAGAAAGTGTGGAGCCATGAGTTTCAGACATGTCTCAATAGATAGTGAATGCTCATTTAAGTCTCAACTAATAAAACTTAAATGTGGTTCATCTGAATCTCCCGTGCAACATGTACTAAATGAGCATTACTACCTTATGCAAAACTAAATGATATATCAAGCATATTTAAGTTTAATCATTAGACTAACCTGGTGCGATGTACCCGCATGAACCAGCGATCACTGACATCGACTTTGGAGCTTTTCCGGTCAAGTCCACGGCTTTAGCCACACCAAAATCAGCAACTCTTGCACCATAATCTCCATCAATCAAAATATTGTTGGACTTAATATCTCTGTGCACAATAGGAGGAACAGAATCATGGTGAAGATACGAGAGCCCCTCAGCCGCATCCAAGATAATCTTAAACCTCGTTTGCCATGCCAACATTCCTCCTTTGCTGCTATGAAGCAAATCTCCCAAGCTACCATTAGGCATGTACTCATAAACCAAGAGCTTGCAGTCTCTTGTGGAACAGCAACACCAGAGCTTCACAATGTTCTTATGCCTAATCTTACCCAATGTCTCGACCTCAGCTTCAAAGGCCTCATCTTGAACTCCAGGTCTGTTACCTTTCTCTGGATCACAGTCTCCGGAATCCTTAACAGATCCTGTCCACAACCGCTTGACCGCAACAGTTTCTCCATTGGTAAGTACAACCTTGTAAACTTTACCCGAAGCTCCAGCTCCAATCACATTGTCTTCATCCAAGCTTTCGAGAATCTCGTGCTCACTGAACCCGAGTTTGTGGAACGACATCAGAGTCCACTTGGATCTCTCCATAGCTCTTGCTTTCTTGAAGTTCCTGTATTTGAAGTAGAACCAAGCAATACCCGCAACCAACACCATCGCAGCAAGCACGAAAATCGATCTGAGAAGCCATACAAAGCCTCTCTTCTTAGATTCATTTTCAGAGGCACACAATCCTTTGATATCCCCACACAATCCAGGGTTCCCAATGAAACTGTTCTTATACACTTCTTTCGCTAAAGAAGGCGGTAAGTCACCCGATAACCGATTATACGACAGATTCAGCTGGTTTAGCTTCAAATTCTGCAACGAAACCGGGATTTTGCCAGAGAAAAGGTTACCAGATAGATCAAGGTAGTTCAAGACTGACAAACTCCCTATTTCATCGGGAATTCTACCGGAGAATTCGTTATCGGCCAAGTTCAACTCGTTCAGCTTCTTCCAAGATTTGATTCCAGGTGTTAACTCCCCTGAAAACTGATTACCATGAAGATCAAGAGTACCTAATTCCCCAAGCTTCATCAAGCTATTAGGCAACGAGCCACTCAGCTTGTTTCCACTCGCCGATATCTGGTTAAGATTGTTTAAAACCCCAATCTCCTCCGGCAAAGATCCGGTGAATTCATTGTTTGAGAGTATCAAGAGCGAGAGGTTCGATGCACCGCCAATGGACTTCGCAATCTCACCGGAGAACGAGTTGTTCATGAGCTCAAGCAAGTAGACATGAGGCAATCCCCAGAAACCCGTAGGAACTGAACCGGTAAACCGGTTATACGCTAACCGGACACGTGTCAAGCTTCTGCAATCACCGAGGCTCTCCGGTATAGCGCCGGAGAATGAGTTGTGAATAATCAGCAACTCCTCTAGCTCCCCTTTCTCGCACAGATCCGCCGGTAATTCGCCGGAAAATTCGTTCTCCGAAACGTCAAGCCATCTCAACGGCGAGTTTCTCCCGAGGTCTCTTGGTAATTCTCCGGTTAACCGGTTACCGAAGATCCTCACCTCGTACAAGTTCGGAGACGTCGCTATACTCGCCGGAAGTTCACCTTCTAGATTGTTCTCGTACAGATTCAAACTCTCCAATGGCACACGACAGAGCTCGTCAGGTATTTTCCCAGTTAACTGATTCATCGACGCGTCGAGAAGTCTCAACGACTTCAAATTCCCGAGCTCCGGTGGAATCTCTCCGGTCAACGAGTTGTTGTAAAGCTCAATCTGAACGACGTTGGTCAAACCGCCGAGCGAACGAGGGATGGGACCAACAAGGTCGTTAAGCGCAAGGTCTAAATCAACGAGTTTGCTGAGTTGACCCAGCGAGTCAGGGATCTGTCCGACGAGATGACACTCGGTGAGCCACATAACCTCGAGATTGGTCAAGTTCCCGAACTCCGGAGGGATCCGACTCGGACTAAACGGGTTGTACGAAAGATTCAGCATCTTCAGAGAGCTTATGTTGCCTAGAAACGGAGGAATCGTCCCGTCCAAGAGATTATAAACGAGAGAGAGAACCTCGAGGTTTTCAAATTTGCCAAAACTCGCCGGAATATCACCGGAAAAGTTGTTACCGGTCAAATCCAAGTGCACCAAGGTGGGAATATCGGCGAGAGTGGGAGGAATCTCACCGGTGAGAAAATTCTGAGAGAGATCGAGAGTTTGGAGACGATTACAAGCAGCGATGTTGAGAGGAAGCGTAGAGTTGATGGAGTTATTGTACAAAGAGAGATGCGCGAGCTTAGAGAGACGACATATGACGGAAGGAAAAGGTCCGGCGAGATTAGCACCGGAGAGGTCGACGGAAGTGACAGAAGTGAAATCACCGCCGCAGGAAACGCCGGACCACCGACAAGGAGAATCATCAGAAGAGGACCAAGAGGAGAGAGAGGAGTCAGGATCGTCGAAAGATTGCTTGACTTGCTGAAGAATGAAACCTTCTTGGTTGAGAGAGAAGACAGTGGGAAAAAGTAGGAAGAGAAAGAGAAGATACATGGTTTCTATCTTTCTTTCTCCGGTGGGATATGGCGGTGAAGCTGATACGGTGGTTGTGTTTTATTTTTTTAGAGAGAAGAGAAGAGTGAGATAAGAGAGAGAGAGAGAGAGTATTTGAAAGAAGAAGAGTGAGAGTAGTGAGTTGCTTTGAAGGAAGGAGAAGAGAAGAGAAGAGAGTCTCTGAAAAAAGCGTTGACCAGGGGGAGGGGGAGACAGGTTAATTCTCGAGACTATGACTGTGGGAGAAGGATGCTTATTAATCATTTTGTTTTTTTCTACTATCACTCTATCATTCAGTTTTTTTTTTTTTTTTTTTAATAATTTTGTTTTTGTCTACTTATTTCGATTTTTATTAATAATTATTTGGTTGCAATTATTAAGTATCTATGTCGAGTTTCCAACATTTGTATAATTTATATCCTATATTTTTTTTGAGATGATGCTGGTCGTAAAAGGGAATGTTACCAATAATGATCTTAGCTAAATAGCCTATGAAAAAACATTCTTTTTCTGTACTTTATTGTTTTAACTGATTAAATAACTGATTTTTTTTTTGTTAATTTTAGTTTATGCAATGAAACGAAGGATTATGAGATTTAATGAAAGAATCTGACAGTTATATTTTAAAGTACAAATATTGTTATATTAGAACATATCAAAAACTCTTTAGGATGTGTTGGAAACGTAGTCTAAAAGTCGACGTGAATAAAATTTTAAAAAAGTTTATGCACGTCTTAAAACATGTATTAAGAGGATAAGCTAAAGCATGTAAGAAACATGAACATATATATATATATATATATATATATATATATATTTCTTGGGGAGATATGATAAGATATCAAACTATACATATCGAGTTTATTTATTTACAAAAAATTAACATTTTCTTATACAATTAAGAAATTTATAAGTGTAGCAAAGGGGAAGAGGGCGCATACATATTTTGCCTACATATTATAAGAGTCAGTTAGGAAACGTATAATCTTAACATATGTGTCTGTTGAGAAAAGCATCACTTTTGTAAATCTATAAACATACCCTTTGAATGATTTTTAAAGAGATAGTATAGGACGAGTGAAACACTTTTGTAGCTCATGGTTGAGAGAGTTCAACTAGTTTTTTTGTGCCTTATGGTATTTGCTTCTATAAGCAAGTTTTATATTATCTTACAAAATTGTGTTGCTTGTTGATTGAAAGAGTAACCATCAAAAATTTGTTTTATGTATATTTTTCATTATTTATTTGAACATCTTCTTCCATGCATTACGTGTGATTTTTTATGTCCATTTCATAACATTGTCACCTTGCAAGTTATTTAATAGAACTATAACTTCTCACGAATATGGTATACAAACAAAGCAAGCAACCTTTGATAGATATATAATTCAACTTCTTTAGTTAATGTATTTCCCTCATCGCTTATGAGCAACAATGACAATAATGGTCAGCTTTGATTTCCTAAATTGTTTAATCTTTGCTCTCATATTCCTCGTCCCAACTCTATGTTACTTTGTATTCTTCTTCACAAAACCAAACAATGGATTTGATATGCCTCCAAGTGCTCCTTCTCTTCCCATCATTGGTCACCTTCATCTTCTCCTCCTTGATTCCATCCACAAATGTTTTCAAAAAATATCATCCAAATATGGACCTATTCTCCATCTTCACATTTTCCATGTCCCCATAGTTCTTGTCTCTTCTGCCTCAGCGGCTTACGAGATCTTCAAGTCACACGACACGAATGTCTCTTATCGCGGTGATATTGCTATCGATGAATGCATTGTGTTTGGATCTTCTGGATATTTTAGAGCTCCATGTGGAGATTACTGGAAGTTCATGAGGAAACTCATCATGGCTAGGGCTCTCGGACCCCAAGCCCTAGATAGATCACGTGGCGTTCGCGCATTCGAACTAGAAAGGTTCCACAAAAATTTGCTTGATAAGGCAATGAAAAAAGAAACTGTTAAGATCGGTGAAGAAGCAAGAATACTCGTTAACAACACACTCGGCAAAATGAGCTTGGGAAGTAGTTTTTCAGTAGAGAACAATGATGGCAAAAAAGTTTCAGAATTTTCTATCCAGTTAGCTGATCTGTCTCACATGTTTTGTGTAGCACAAATATTTCATAAGCCGCTTGAAAAGCTAGGGATCTCTCTTTTAAAAACACAGATAATGGAGGTTTCAAATAGATTCGAGGAGCTACTTGAAAAGATTCTTGTGAACTACGAAAACAACGTGGACAAGCATCAAGGTACTGAGTTCATGGATGCATTGTTGGCAGCTTACCAAGACGAAAACACAGAGTATAAGATCACTAGAAACCATATCAAGGCATTATTAGCGGTAAATTGTTATATTTTTATTTGATTATAATATATCTTTGAGAATCCAAACGAATAATATCATTATACTAAAAAATAATAATTGCATTTTCTAGGAGCTTTTCTTTGGAGCTGGTGAGTCCTCTTCTTCGACAACACGGTGGGCAATGGCAGAAATCCTCAGTAACCCTCAGATCCTTGAGAGATTGAGAGAAGAAATCGATTCCATAGTGGGAAAAACAAGGTTGATTCAAGAAAGTGATCTACCAAAACTTCCTTACTTGCAAGCAGTTGTAAAAGAATCACTAAGATTGCATCCAGTGGGAGCAGTCTTACCAAGGGAATTTACACAAGACTGTACGATAGGAGGGTTCTACATACATGAGGGAACATCACTTGTCATCAATGCTTATGCTGTGATGAGAGATCCTAATATTTGGGAAGATCCCAATGAGTTTAAACCGGAAAGGTTTTTAAATTCTTCTATATTAGGGAAAGAGGAGGAGAGAAAAGAGCAAGCACTGAAGTTCCTTCCTTTTGGAGGTGGAAGGAGAGGGTGTCCAGGGTTACATCTTGGTTATACTTTGGTAGAAACCACTATTGGAGTGATGGTGCAGTGTTTTGACTGGGAGATCAAAGGAGATAAGATCAACATAGAAGAAGGTTCCGGATTAAAATTCTTCTTGGATTTGGCTCATCCCCTTGAATGCACTCCTTTGCTTAGAACCATAAACCATTAATTTTCTCATATGCAGATTTCATGTTCAAGATATTACACGTCATTTACAAACATATATGTAATTATAATTTAAGGTTCAAGATCGTTATATTTCACCCCTATGATATATTCATTATTTTTACATTGGTTGCTGTTGTTGAATGCAATTCCCTTAAACATTGTATTTTATTATATTCATATTAATGTTAAACACCAAACCGATTATTATACTTGTTTGATTTTTGTGAACATTTGTTAGACTTTAACTTACCAGATAAAATCTTAGTGAAAGATTAGTTTGAACATGTCTTTCAATATAATGTCTAGTTAGTTTTTTTTTTCTTTTTGGAAAATAAAGATTTAAGTTAATTAAATTAAAAGTAAAACAGCATGATAGTTGATAATTTGTCCGTTTTTTTTATTTCTTTACCAATAAGTTGAACGTGGCACAGAATTTATGTGATTAATGAATATATTGACAAAAACAATGCAAAATGTAAAAATAAATTCAACCTACACATGTTTTAGTTTTGTAGGTATCATCAATTAAATAAAATAACCAAATCATTGCAAAGTGGAGTATTGAATATACCTAATATTTTAGATCCTGCAGTCAAAATTTATGAAAGACAATAAATGGTGCAATTCCCCTCCAACACCGAGATCCACAAAAATAATAAATGTGGTATCTCTATATATGTCTATATGAGATTTGTTGTTAGTTTGTAAAATACGATTTCATAAATTCTCATGATTTTGAATTTATGAACAAGCAAACATGAAATATAACTTCATCTCAATTATACGTATTAGATGGAGAAATTAAGTCGTTGATTAGCCGACAGTTACTATTTGGTTTGAGTACTAATTATCGTATAAAACAGCATGCATTGCATGCAATGCCAATCTCAAATACACATAATAACACTTCTCCAGTTTTGTCTTATCTTTTGTCGCCATCTCCAAGTATTTTTTTTTGGTTTTTTGTCCATATAATATGATAAGGTAACTCTCAAAATGTAAATATGTTATCTAACACCAGGACCTACAATACATATAATAAGATAACAATATGATTTTAATTTATCCCACGTCCAACGAATGCTGAACCACCACCGCCCCGGCATACTCATATGTATGTCTTTATCATACTTTTTAAATTTTTGTCAATTACTGTATGTGTAATTCATAACAAAATATTTCTAACATTCTTAATGGACAAACTACTTCTCGACAAAAGAAAAAACATATATTCATAAATTTATGTATTTAGTATTCGAATTGTATATCTTGGTTTAACATCTCAAAACTTAAACTTATTATTCTATATATTTTGGGTTCTTATGGATTTTGCCACTTTCTAACTCAAATTTTATAAATATGCCATTTTCACTAAAAATTTATAGATTTGCCACTTTTAAGTTTGTTAAAAATGTGTGATTTTATGATTTTTTTTTATAATATATATATTTCATAACAAATACTAAACCCTATGTAAAAATGGAACCAAGAAAACCAAAACATAATATGTAAAATTGTGTTTTTATATCTATAAAAGTGGCAAATCTAAAAGATTTAACATAAAATGGCAAAAACAAAAATGCCATTGAGAAAAGTCCTTATTGAGCAATTAACTCATATATTTTCCTTTACAATTTTTGTTTTTTTTTTCTAATATGTAAACCTACAAAAGCAATAGATTTTATCATAAAAAATTTAATCGGATGGTATAAATTCGGATAGCTTTCTAAATATTTTGTTTTTTTTTTTTGGTCGACAAAATATTTTGTTTTAAAAAGCTATACTAACGAATGGAAAGAAAATTGGAAAATAATTTATCAGGAAAAAACAATCCAAAATACTAGAAATAGGGTTTGGGAGATGATTAAAAGAAAAAACAAAAACTTAATTAGTGTTGCAAGAAACACAAGCCGAACATCGTGGATTGTGAATATTAATAGCGTGAGATTGAAGTTATGGACAAAAAAAGAGTAGCATCATTATCATAGAACCAAATACTTTTTTATGTTGCATTAATATTGAGTTCCTTTAAAAATCTGTAGCATTTAACTATCACAGTCATTTTACTTGTACTACAACTAATTATATCCATTCTTCTTTCCTTTTATATTTGTGCATTTATTTTAGGGCAAATCCATTATAAATGTGTGTTCTTCAAGAATTTTGTTATTAATTAAAGAACATTATGACGAAAACTACATTTGAACCTATGAGATTAGTGTGGTACCAAAAAACTCTTTTAACCACTGTGTCGAAGAAGACTCCAACTAACTAAAGAGCTTTTACAATTTTTAGTCAGTAAAAAACAAAAAAGAAAGAAGAATCAAATATTTTCTAAAACATTAATCATTATTAGTTTGAAAAACAAAACAAAACTATCAGATAATAACGTCACGTTTTCATTTTTGGGGAGTGAGAGGTGAAAGAAAAAGAGAGAATCGAGAAAAAAGAGTATTCCCGAGACAGATGATGAGAAGAAGTGCAAAAGTTTGGAAACATCGCGTCGGTCGTCTTATCATTCTTTTCTTTCTTTCCCATAGGCACTGCTGAAACCAAATAAAACCAATCTCAGCTCTTTGGTCTTTTTGTGTTTTTCTTTTTCATTTTTTATATATCCCACTTGAGGCAACAAAATAGTCATAATAACTAATTGTATAGTATATTATACCTTTAGCCAGAGTTAAACTCAGACTGGTAGTAGCAAGATTGGTGTGAGGCAGTTTGTTGTATCATGTGGTTCACGTACGTAATAGCATTGTAACCCGTATAAGAAGAGCTAGAAACGGTTTATTAGAAGTAGTTGGGACACTCTTCATCTTATGGACTCATTCTTCCACATGTTTACATTGTTCTTTTTATATATGATGCTCAAAACATTTATAATAGTTAATACGATTGGTTGATTTACTTGATATATAAAATTCAAATGACATGTTTTGAAACATTATCTTTTTCTTTTGATTTCAGGTCATGAAAAGATATTAATAAGCCAAACGAAAACTTTGTTCAACTATAGATAGATATATTATTCTCAAAGAGTTTCCTTTTCACTTTCTTTTTCTTTCTTTCTTCTTTTTGCTTTTGGTGAAATCTTCAAAGAAGCTTTTGCGGTTGTACCCAAACTTTTTCCCAAGTATCCCACTTGCCATAAGATCTGTAGGACCATATAAATATTAGAAAGTGGCATCCTTTTGCAAACTTTGAGGGAATATATATATATATAAGAGATCATACACCTTCTTCTAATCATATACATACTCCTTTCAATTCGTCACCAAATTGTAAGTGTTTTTGTTAGAAATCCCAAGTGTGATACGTCCAATTACATGATTTTAGACCCAACAAGGTTGGTAGATTCAACCTTCTTTGGAAAAAAACTATCAACTATCAGCCAAACAGTGTTAAGCCCTAGATGTTCTTGTAACCTAACAAGGGTTTTATAATCTCAAAAGTTTATATATTTGAAAACATATTGGTGGAGGAGTTACCGCAAATTAATCGAGACAGAGCTGATGAATCATATGCTTTCTCGTGATCTATATTAGTGTTATATCTGGACCGATGGGTCCGATAATTAAATTAAATTTATGAAAACAACAGTAGTTGTGGGTTCTACGTGGTTAAATATGTTTTTTGTTTATAGGTTAAAATATGAAGAAGAAGAAAAAAAGAAAAGTTGAGCAAAAATAAATAAACATCTAGAAGATTTATGCAAAGGAGAAGAAGAGTCAGCGGTCCAATTTATTCGGCTCCCAAGTTTTTCTTTCCTACCATGCAATCATAATTATTCCCTTAAGCTTAATCATTCACTTTAATTAAGCTTTAAGAATATTGAGTTTTAATTCATCACATCCCACCTTCTCCCACTATCCTCACTTCTCCTTTTGGTTGGCGAGGTTACATAAAAATAAGCAAGCATATATATTTTCTTCGATTTATTTTAGTTTCCATTTGAAGTTCTATATTTGTGTATTGTCCAATCGAAACTTCGACTTTCTCGTCTTTTGATGCATGTTCTTATGCTTGCATATACATAGTATGACATGTAGTGTATCTCATTACCATATGATCAGCTGATTGAATAAAATCATTAAAAAAAAAAAAACATTTCATCTTACAAAGAAGATTTGTATAATATATTAATATGTAAATAAATTGTATATATCAGATTTTACCCGTTGAGTGGTGATAGAGTTTCTAGGCTTGTAATTTGTAAATGTTAGGAGAACAAGCAGTATACTATGATAATGGAGATGAAAAGAGCGATCATAGTTCAAGAGAAAAATATATTTACTCCTATGTTTAAATGCTTACTCTTCATTGAAAGTTATAATTGCAAAACATAGTTCATGTATACAAGAAGTCATCGAGTGTTTTTTTATAGCAGATCACTAGTGTACAAAATATAATACTCTTGTGTTGTATGATTCAAAAGAACTAAAAATTGCCTTTTTCTTTTCGTATTCAACCAGTAATAAAAAATAAAAGATAACAAAATAAAGATCACTACGAAACTAGAAAAGTGGTGTCTACGTTGGACCATCTAGTGAAAAAGTACAATTAAACTTTAAAACAACTGATGATGATATATACAAACACCAAAACTTAAATTGCAATTTGCCAAAGAAAGAATATACAAAGACAAAAGCTTTTAAGACATCGAAGCCGAAGATATTCTCATTCGAATGATTTGAGAAAACAACACACCAGTAGTACACAACTCTCTTTTCAGCAAGTCCTCTCTCCAAAAATGTCTCTTCTCTTTTGGTTTTAATTACAAAATGATATTTTGGCATTTACCTTTTGCCATTTAATGGTGAGATTCTGCATGAATCCTAGGAGACTAGTGAGTGATTCTCCTTTGGAAGAAAGGTATGCAATCACAATCACAATCACAAAACACACACCCGAGAATCATTTCCTTCTTTATCTACAACTTTAAACCCGTAGAAGAGGACAAGGAGGCTTATTGAGCAATGGAGACTAACACATTATGAATCA